TTTTATGTTGGCCAAATATCACCATTTCAGAATGATTAGTGTATATAAACCATGAATTCAACACAGTTCTTGACGATCTATCGACCATTTTTTCATATGTGGTACCTGTTCTCCCATCTTCCCGAAAGGAAGTCATCGCTAAGCAGATCAGACCCACAATCAGCGAGGCCGATTCGCTGCGAAAATGCAGATGCAGTGGTGGGAAAATGAAAGCCCAACAAACACCAGTGGTGCTGCAAAGTTCAATGGATTTTGGTTCGAAAAATCATTTTTGCGTTTTTTTTTCATTACAGTGATTTGTTTCAGGTGAGTGACGGTTTGCTGAAAGAAGTGTCACAGAACATGAACAATATCAGAAGCTGGTTGGTGTTTTCAGCTGGGATTATTTTCAACCCCAACAAAAACGCAGCCCCAAAAACGGGATAATGATTCCAACTACTGTATGTATGTATATTTATAATATATATATTATATATATATATTATATATATATTATATATATTATATTATATATATATTATATATATATGTAAATGACGCCCCATCAGATCTCCTCTGCCAAAGCAGGCTTAACATGGTTTTCAACATTCATGTTTTTGCTTGGTTATATTGCAATATTTTTGGTGTTCTCCAGGTGAAGTGTTTCTCCCATCCAAACATGGTCATGGATCAACATTTAGGATCCAGTCCTGGTGAAGATGTGCATGATTTTCATAGGAGGTGAATCCACCCTGAATAGGGAACTGGGAATATGTATGTTTTTACTGGCCCGTTTGCAAAGTGGGTGGACCCTAGTTACATTAGTTATAAACCAACTTAGTAACTTAAGTATCTAGGGGGCCTCATCTTGACAAATCCAAGCAATGGCAGGTTGGCATGTCTGAGCTGCGGCTGACAGAGCATCGTCGCTTCCTTCGAGGCTTCCAAGTGGAGGCACGTGGGGAGTTACGATGGTGGGTCCCAGGGTCCCGCGACCGTATGGAAGGAGGTGTTCTTTTTTTGTAGCAGCCGACAAAACTATACAATCCACTTGTCAGATGAACATAATGATAAATCAAATCACTAATCCTCTGGGGTCACTATTAAAATCAAATGTATGATTGGGTAATTGCAGCCGCAGCTGGGTGCAGTTCTAAACCCAATCCCAGTGCAAGACATTGCCCTGACACATTTCTTTAGACAACAAGAAATGATGACCGGTAACCCCAACATGAACACATCCATTCCTCATCCGGAGAGTTTCTGGGGATCATCACAGAGCTGTGGCCCGCCAAATCATGGGTCTTTGCTTAAACGGTTTGTCGACCCACGCGACTGTGGGTTACAGTAGCTTCTCTGAATCTTTGACATCTTCACCAGATCTTGATTGGAGATACTGAAAGGGAGAAGGTGATACTTCTAATTGCCTCTTGGTGGTTAAAAAAAAAAACTGACATCAAATCCCAAACAGCATCGGATTTTCGCAAAGACCAAGCCCATGGATCGCTCCCCACAGGCTGCTGCCTATGAAAACCTCTCGGCTGAACTGCTGGCAGCGAACTTGACTGTGCCGCGTCACGTGCTGAGCGAGTCGAAGGGAGAGATGGCGAGCTGTTGGGGTTTAAGGTGGGATCAAACAATCCCCGGGGACGAATCAACATCCATGGCAGATCTATGATATAACGTATAGGACAATGTTTCTCTTGATGATGAATGGTCCTTGTCAGTTCTTTCTGGTTTTCACTAGGGGTGGAGGGTGTTGACCCAGGCCCAACTGCAAACCAGAAGTTTAATTCAAACAGGGGGCTATTGTAAATGATCCCAAGTGGGGCGACTACTTGCGGATTGTTTATAATAGTGTATACAGCCCGGCATACCACAATCTACAACACCACATCAACTGCTCACAGGAGTCACAATAGCTGTTGTTGATGTGATTGTGATTTTGCTTGGGCGTTTCTATTTCTTTCATCAAAGTCATTTGTACTATGACACTCCTGGGAGACCAGACGGAATCGGTCACCCACTAGCAGAGTCAGACCACAGTGAGGTCAAGGGTATGGTGTTTTTCCTTCCCTGGTTGGTGCTTTTCCTTCCCTGCGGTTTTCCTTTCCCTGTGTCTTCTATTCCAGGCTTGGTGTTTCTCTTTCCCTGGTGTTTTCCATTCCCTGGGTTGGTGTTTTCTGTTCCCTGTCAGCTTTTGCTTCTTTCCTGTTAGCTTTTGCTTCTTTCCTGTTAACTCTTGCTTGTTTCTTGGTGTGACCGGTGCCCAGAAATCAAAGTGGAAACATATAATTCAGCCCAAAACATGATGGGTTCGGCAGGGGGGATACCAGCAATTCATATTTGTATATGCCAGATACTGCGCGGTCCGCGCCGGGGCGGAAGTCTCGAAAATTTGGGAATGGCTATAGGAAGAAGGTGGCCTATAGGAACGCCTTTTAAAAGCAGAAGCAGTGAAGTGGTGAAGTTGTGAGGTGCATCAACGCCAGGACATGAGAGAATCCATGCACAACTGACTGAATGAATCAATGAATCGATGAACCAATGAATCAGTGAACCCATGAATCAATAAATCAATGACTCAATGAATCAGTGAATCAATGAACCAAGGGTTTCATGAATCAATGAAATTTATGAATGAGCTACCTCTTTGTTGAGCTACTTCTTCACTGATCACTGCATTGCTGCGCGCAGGCGTGCCAATGCGTTTTGTCACACAGCAGTATCGTGCACAATTTGCGGACTTGATCTTCCAAAAGTGCTCCGCGCACCGCATTTTTTTTTACCATTTGGAAAATTTTGGAAGCGCAAATCGAGCTCTCGCTACAGTCCTGTGCGCTGTTTGTCGACAACTTTCCCAGATCGAGGCCCGCACCCGCTGAAACAGAGACCCTTCTTCGGCGATACTAGAAGTCAGATTACCCGACAAACAAACATAGGTGGGTTTCGCGCCCAAATGTGTTTTCATCCGTGAATTCACACACGGTTGACGTGATGAGTGGTGATGTGGTGGTGTGGTGATGTGTTGTGGTGAGTCAACCACCCCCACGTCGGGCGTGCCTCGTGGGCCATCAAAGTGACATGGTTTCTTTAGGGTTGGTTCAGGGTTGTTTCAGGATGTATTGGGGTCTATTAAGGGTTGGTTTTAGGGTTGGTTTAAGGTTTCCGCAGGGTTTTCTCATAGTTTGTTTTAGGGTCTATTTAGGGTTGACTTAGTGTTGGTTTGGGGTTTGTTTAGGCTTGGTTTAGGGTTTTGAAAGGGTTGGTTTAGGGTAATGATGGTTTTCGTCAGGATTTGTTTTAAGGTTGGTTTAGGGTTTATTTAGGGTTGGTTTAGAGTTTATTTAGGCTTGGTTTCACCCAGGATGTTGTTAATACACATCTGTCGAGGGTTCAAAACCGGCTTCCGTTTCGGGAGCGTTAGTTTCAAGACCTGCCAGCCTGGGGTAGAATATATATTCCAACAAGGGTTTGGCTCAAGTGTCCGACAAAAAAAAGTTGCTCGCATGGCTGCACTGCCATTTGCGTTGCGGCGTCGTGTTCTCGTGGTTATCAGCCGTAAGGCTGTGGGCTTTGCCGACAACATCTCTGAACCACTTGTGTGCCCCACTCTGTATATTCTGACATCAATTCAACTCTTTGGGATCTAATCGGTTTTGGGAGAGGTGGCCGAAGAGGAAGCAGTCAAAAGACAGCTTACATCCGTGGAGGTTTGCAACAAGGCTTTTTGTCTAACTCTTATCCCTTCATCCTTGACGAGTCCGAGCTTGGTCGAGCGAATTTCCGTAAGCCAGCGATTCAGAAGGAATACGAGGCACAGCATCCATCAGCTGCTTCGCCATCCCAATCAGTAAGACCTCGATTGGAAGAGAATCCCAAAACCTTTAATTTGGCATCCGCGCCCGGAGCTGGTGGCACTTGTCTATTGTGGACACCCACTTCAGAGTTTGTCTTTCGTTCAGTGGATCATTTGGTTTTACGAGGAGTCACAAGGGCATCAAAGTTCTTGTTTATCGATTGGCATCAAGTCTTCAATCGAAGCCGAACAGGCGACGCTCATCTTTTCCGTCGTGCTCCGCGGGAGTGTGTTGATACCGTTGTAAAGACGGTTCAGTTGGGAGAGACTTTGAACAAGTCATTGTTCGTAGCAATTCTTTCTTACGTCGACACAGACCGGAGGGTGAGCGAAGTCATTGAGATCTTGAACGCCACAGATTGCAGTTTCTCATTTGTCTTGATTACAAGGCGAGATCGTGGGAACGAGGGCAAAGCTGGCGTGCTTCGGGATTTCATTCGGCAATTGGATTTGGATAACAAGCAGATTCTTTTGTCGACGATAAAGCTCGGTACCTTGAAGAGTGCAGATTCTTCTCTTTGAACATTCAGACGCTTCACGTGAAACTGAGACGGAAACCATTTGCTCCAGGTCATTTTTCAGTGGGTTACTTTGAGGACTCATTTGAGACCATTGAAGAGTGGTTACGTTCGGATTGAACTGTGTGCAGTGAAAGGAAAAAGGGGTTTAACCCTGGAAGGGTGGGAGAATTTGTGCATTGCCCAGCCAACTGAGCAATGGCGAATCTAAATGAATCACCGTCAGACTCTAGTGAGGCAAGATCTAGATCGGATAGGGGAGCCAGATAGATAGATGGATGGATGGATGGATGGTAGATAGATAGACAGACTAGATAGATAGATAGATAGATAGATAGATAAATAGATAGATAGATAGATAGATAGATGGGTACGTAGATAGGTAGGTAGGTAGATAGATAGATAGGTAGATAGGTAGATAGGTAGATAGATAGATAGAAAGGTAGAAAGAAAGATAGATAGATAAATAGAAAAATAGATAGATAGACAGACTAGATAACTAGCTAGATAGAACGAAAGAAAGAAAGATAGATAGATAGAGAAATAGATAGATGGATGGATAGATAGATAGATAGATAGTTAGATAGATAGATAGATAGATAGATAGATAGATAGATTAGATAGATCAATAGATAGATAGAATATATAGATAGGTAGATTCATAGACAGATAGATAGAGAGATAGATAGACAGATAGATAGGTGGGTAGGTAGGTAGGTGAGGAGATAGACATATTAGGTAGGTAGATAGATAGATAGATAGATAGAGAGATAGAGAGATAGAGAGAGAGATAGAGAGATAGATAGGTAGATAGGTAGATAGGTAGACAGGTAGATAGGTAGATAGATAGGTAGAAAGATGGATGGGTAGATATTTAGATAGATAGATAGACAGATAGATAGATAGATGGATAGATAGATAGATCGATGGATAGATAGATCGATAGATTGACAGATAGATTCCAGGGTGACCGGCTCTTTGTTGTTGACTTTCTGTTTTCCTCCGGGTTCCTTGATCCTCCTCCCGGCTTCCGAGGGGTGACTGACTCTCCGTTGCTGGCTCTCTGTCTCCTGTTCCTGGTTTCCTTGTATCCTGTGCTAGTGTTCACCGGTGGCTGACTTTGTCCTGTGGGGTTCCTGACTCGGACGTTTGGGGCGACTGACTCGGGTGACTGACTCTGTCTTTGCCCCACTCCCTGGTTTCTGGCTGACACCAACCGCTTTGGCTGCCAAGTAGATACTGCAGACATGGATGCCCTGCTTCAAACCAAAATTTCCTGTTTCCGATTCAGTCTTGGGCTTTGCGAGAAAAAACTCAGGCTTACTTCATGTAGAGAGGTCGCAAGATGCGACCAATTGGCCTTTGACCATTTTTCTGGAGGACGGGCGGGGTCCCATGACGTTGGGGGTTTAGGAGCTCTTCAGAAGCAGGATCGATAACGGATCGATAACAACCACTATTTTGGTGTCAAAATCTGGGTACGGGTTTTGACCCCTTCGCAACGGCTCTCCTGCCAGGGCCCCAAAGACTCTACATTGGTAGTGTATTACACCTAGAGCTCCAGGAATCGCATTTCCAATCGAATGTTGGTTTTCGGGTCTTTTAGGCACCTGTTCCCACGAGAAAGCAGGCCTTGGATGGCCTTGGAGCATTTAGCAAGGCGATCAGAAGAGATACTGTAAGGGAGCGAAGAGCTGAGGATAGAAAATGTCCGTCCTATTTTGCTCAGATTGTGAGAGACGGTAGATTACATCTTGAACCTTTTTTTTAATGATGCGACCGGGCCCGCTGCGACTGGAAAATCATCCATCCCTTCGCAGCGAACCCGGTGGTTCCTAGCAGGACCTCAGCCTGCGCTTCCCCCGTGGGGCTCGTGGCCAAGTGCGGCGCATGACTTTGGAGGAAACCCATGCGGCTTTGAGGTGCGGCCTTTGCGGTCGCTGATGAGGATGAACATGTTGAAAAATCAAGGGCCAAGCAAGACCTATAGCCATCAATGCGGTTTGGTGCGGTCAGTTGCTGATTTTACATCATGTTGGAGTATTGGTTGAACATGGTTGAACGGTATTGGAAACCCAGATGTGACTGGGAGATTGGTGATTTCAAAGGGTCCAAGGATTTTGACTAAAGCTGTAGACGGTTCATGCCCTTGGATGTCTGGAGAGCCCAACTGAAAAGAGCACACGCTTGGTGTGTGTTGAAACGGCCCAACGAGAAAAATATCATGATTTCAACTCATAATGTTTCATCCTCCAGAAAATGCTAGTAATGTATATATCTATTCTACATTCATGTGCAAAGTTTTTTGGATGTCTTACCAATGGTGCTGTCCAGTGGTTTGACTTTTGTCAGGCTGTCCAAGGGGTACAAGTGCTTGGATGAAAGCGTTGAAATTTAAGACTGAACGAAGGAGGTTTTGGACCATGCCAAAAAGGGCGAGCCAGAGCCAAAGCGAACAAATCTTCTGTTTTGATCTTTATCGGGATCCGGCAGGTGGCTGGCGGGACTGCATGCCTTGTTCTGGGAGCGTCCAAAGGCGGCGCTACGGGGCTTGTGGCCCAGAGGGACCTATTGGATCTTGGATAAGTTGGGAAAGCTTCTTGGCAGCTGCCTGGAAAAGTGGTGCAGACTGTTTGGTGTGGTAAGCTTGACCATGAATCTCGTCTGTTGGTTTTAAGGTCTGTTCAATTCCTCAATGGGTCTATTTACCCTCTGGTGAATTAACATAGACCCTGAAAATAAGCCATTTTTAGTGGAAACGAATCTTCCAACCCCTATCTGGCCGTGCCAGGAGGATATATCTATTGATTGTATGATATTTCTATTGGCTTGAGACGTTGAACCCCACATCCTGAGGGAATTTCACCCCCCTTCCAGCGATCGCCCGAGGCTGCAGCTGGAAGCGTTGCCCGAGGGCTTCCACAATCGCTACTTGGCTGCCTCTGAAGTGGAGGCCTTGCAGTGGATGGCGGACGCCTTGGATGCGAGGATGGAACCTTGGCGGTATGATGTTCATAGCAAAATAGTTTGGATTTATGGATGTTCAATGATGTTCATCATATGATGAATAGTGGTATTAGATGGTATTAGTAATAATAAAAAGGCTGATAATGATATGAATCCCCCCCTATTTTGAAAATGATAGGTATTGGCCCATCCTCAGATGGAGTGGAGGATGGGAATCTTGGTTGACCTACAAACATGGAGGAGAAAAGCAGGGAAAAAGACTGGGGAGAACATTGTCAGAATTTGGGATACCAACAAAGATGGAGGTAGAATCCTCTCATGCCTGAAGACGAGCAACATCATTGAGCAATAGAGGTGATGAACCTTTTTTCCCCAAGAACCAGAGAGTGAAAGAAAGGACTGCTTTGACCATGGTGGCCAAACGCCCCAACGATGCTCGTTTACTTGGGGGTGTACTATATACTGCCAACCAGTTCTGGGGACGCCATTTTTGTATATTAGTGTCGCTTAGCGGAAGGGTTGGTTTAAGGCAGCACAATACAGGAATATATTTTTTTTTCATGCGGTTTGCTTTAGACTTATACACCCTTAATCCATTTGGACGTTTTATGAACATGGGGGTACATACCTCAAAACAATTGGTTTCCCAGATTCCCTGACAAATTTTGGATGATTTGGGGGTCCGCCACTAGAAATCACTGGTTGACATTCCTGCGACGATCTTTGAGGCCGGACGTGATCCTTTAAATGCCACCCAGCCACCTGACTGGCGTTTCCGGACTCTGGTGGCTTTGCCTTGAGCATTTCCCACAGTGATTCAGTGATTCTATTTTTTTTGAGGAACCGGCAAAGACATTTATATACTTCATTAAATGATTCAGCAAACATAGGGAGCACCAATTCCAACCGCCGCGAGTCTTTGAATTCATTCAGCCTATGCAGCTGTGTGCTTTAGGTGCATGGTGATGCAAAGCCCGAGAACATCCTTTGCACTGCTCCACCTGCCGCTGTGCATTGCGCCGCCCTGGATTTCGGTTGGGTGGGCGAAGGTGCTATTGTATGCTGCCGGGGGGGACTGGAATGATGTTTGAACTGAAAGTTTAACCTGAAAGCACTAAGAAATGGAGCTGGTCTTGTGACATTTACAGGATGGGATGGTTTCAAAGTCAGGCTTTTGCTGAAGAACACACTGAAACATCAGAAACGAAACTCTTGAAATTTGATGAACAAATCCTGCCGCCATAAAGATGAATTCTTCCACAGTCCTTTGTGTCGCAGGCTATGGTGCGTGCGATGTGGCTTATCTCCTGTGGGACCAGATCGCGACCAATGTCGTCGAGGAGAGGGTCGAGGGGCTTCCAATCCGGTCCAATGCACTGCTGACATGTGGGAAGCATCAGTCAACCTGCTGACAGTGACAAAATTGTTCAACACGCTTCAGTTGATGTGTTCAAAAATCAACATATTTGGTCGTTTGGCAGTCCATTCTAAGGAGCTCAAAACGAACAAATATTAGGACATGCCAATGCTCAGAGATCCCTTCTTGGCATCAGGACCTTGTGAATTTCTACTACTCTTTGCTGCAGGAAAGGCTTCCAGCATCCAGTGTCTACAGCCGTGACATTCTGCAGCAGCACTTTGACCTGTGCGTGATGGACTTCATGCGACACTCAGCCAGAGAAGATATATTAATTGGTCACACAGATGTGAAACATCCCATCCTATCTCTATAGCAATTCCGTTCATTTTGACTTTATCCATCCATAGAAACGTGCACTATTCCCTCCTGATGTCCCCAGTTCATGGTGTATTTTGTGTATTTTGGCAGGGGGGAAGAACTTCTCCTGCCATCGAGGATGGCAGCTCGGATTTCAAGGCGGGCGCCACTTCTGGGCCATGTTCCTCGGCTGTCATGGCAGTGAACTGGCATTTGCTGTTGGCTTATGTGCATCCCAGGAATTTATGCCAAGGAACCTCTTATAACACATTTTTATCTTTTTGGGGGGTTCACGGGTTCACATGAGTTTTCATGGAGTATTCTAGGTGGAAAATTAAAGGTGTTATTTCCCAATGGAAAATGATCTTGCAAATCGCATTTTCACCGCATCAAAGCATCAAAACGATGCACACTGCCATTCAACATCTCAAAAAAAGCATCTCTCCTGTTCCTTCTGAGGATGTCAAAAAGTAGCAGGGTGAAAGAATGAACATCTCAGTCCTTGGGGTCGACGCACCATTAAAAAACCGGATGCTTCAGCCCAAGGCCCTGGGCGGTCGAAACGTTGCGTCGAATCCTGAGGGAAAAAATGGAGCTGCAGCTGTTAAAAGCCTGGTGAACACCAAATAACTGGTAAATGGATGCTAATCATCCCCAAGGTGGTATGATAGGTTTTGACCCATACCCATTTAGGTGAGGTTTTTCGCCACTGGATTTCAATGTTGAGCTGTACTGAGTACTGCCTCGCCGCAGTCTACCAAGTCCCTAGCGAGTTGAAAACATCCTGCCTCACCTGGCTCCAAGCTGGAAATGAGGGCCGCGGAGACCATGGTTTGCAAAGAGCAAATGATATCGCCCTCATTCATATGATAGATATGACTTTCCAATACTTTCCACATATATTCACCCAAGGTGGCTCAGGCAATCGGCATGCATCCCATCGATTGGTATGGAAATTATTGCAATTTTATCTTCATACATTAATGGTATATTTTGTATTTTATTTTATCAATGGTATATCAATATACCATGATTTTCTTCCGTCATTGGATCATTGGTATGTCATTTTCTTGTTTTCGATAGCCCACATGGGCCACCGCAAATTTCCAGCCCATTTGGTGGACTCCTGAAACAGCTGCGATCCGTTGCGAAGCCCACAAGATGGCTTCAGAGGCGACCATCTCGCAGGTCAAGGACCATCAAATGGGCAAATCAAGGAGAAAATATGGAGACACAGGGGGATCCCAAGTTTAAGGAGGTATAATTAATTATAGTTATACGGCAATTTATCGATATAATCATCTTGAAGTAGATAAAATATGGCATTCTCACGCATATTACCAATTTAGTGAGTTTTTTTTTACGTTTCCACATTCTATTTAATTGCGCCAGGATGACTAGACATCTATATAGGTTTTCTATGGTTTTCTACATAGACTCCCAGTCAAGCTGGGAGAGAACGGATATTTCAGGATTTGCAGTGAGCCAACTACACATTTCCCGAGTGCACCAGGCGCACTCTGACAGATCCGCTTTTCAGGAGATCCAAAAGGGAAGTGCGGAAGGTCACAAAGAATGGAGAGCGGCGCTCAAGCAATGCGGTCAATTTGCGGAATAGTGCGGAATGTTGTTTTTTCATGTTTTTTCATCTCTACTTGGGAAGGTGAACGGTTCACCTTTACCTTTACCAAGAGTAGGTTGCCCAATATTTATATTATCTCGATGGTTCTTACTTTGTTTCTGTCCCAGTGAGTGATATCCATAGTCAGTGAACACCAGGTTTTTGCCGTCCCAGTGATATCCTGATGGTTCGCAACCTAGGCCTCTGGTGCGATGCCAGGGGCAATGGTGCCAGAAGCCCAAAACCGATATTCTGTACACATTTCCTGCACGAACGGGGATGCTCCTTGCTGTGGGAGTGCTTCTATCGCAGTTCTCTACGGAAAAGCACGAGGAAACTCATCATGGAAAGTATTTCTTTCATGTTTGCTCGTAATATCCCCCCATTTCGGATTGCTGCAGACCAAAGTTCTAATAGTTAAATCCCATACTAGTAAAATCCAAAAATTCTTTTATTGATCGGTGAATGGAGCTGCCGCCAGCATCTATGCAATGCATTTACCTTTCGTGCACTGCTTGGTCCAGTCCAAAATCTTATTGGCAAAGCCCATGTTGATGGGTGAAATCCCAATCTCCCCGCGCCCAAAGTTCCAAAGTCCATCTGTTTGCCTCTGATCACCCACTTTGGCTAAGGTTCGAGACCCCAGCAAACACTCTTTGGAGCCCGGCGCTGAGGGGATATAGGCGGCTCCTATAAAAAGTGAGACCACAATGGATATATAGACCAACAACCAGGTCAAGAGCAAACGTAGTGGTGTTATTATTGGAAAAGAACGTAGTGGTGTCATCATGGACAATACTGGTTATGTACGATACACTATATGATTGATAGGATGTCAATTGTATCAGGGTTTATATCAAAATGGGGTATGCGAATATACCCAAAACAATCCGAACAAGTTATTTTCTTAAATGGGGAACATGATGATAACAGTGGGATTTTTGGGTACACACCATATTTTAGGACAACAGCAGATCATTTTGGTGAAGTACAGCGGCATCACCACGACTTCACCATAGATGATGCAGAGTAACAAGTAAGAGGAGTCTATTCTTTTGTGTGTACCACATGATTCAAAATGATTGAGACTCCTTGGAACAGAAATCTCTTTTTAGCCCAGCCGGTTGCAGCCACGACGGCATCATCCAAGGTTCTTAGATGAATTCATTGCACATTACAATGGCGGAGGCCGGCCAGTGCTGCTTAGGATCCAGGCTTCACCGTGATGATTGTAACCTCTGGGAATCCCACTCAATCAATCAATCTTACTGGGCAATACTGGGCACATGCATCCATATCTGATGGTTTCTTTGCTTCTATACCCGCTTATCTTGGTTCCATCACCATATTTGTTGTTCAAATCATGTCATATCCCTAATTATTGTTGGTGCTATCTCCAGTTCTTGGTAAAAATCTTCCTGATGGTTTGAATTTTTGTTCCTTACATCCCCATTTTTGCTGGGTATACCCTCTGGTAATTTAACATAGCTACTGGAAATGACCATTTATAGTTGATTTTCCCATTAAAAATGGTGATTTTCCATAGCTATGTTAGTTTACCAGAGGGTACTGGGTATACTGGGTATATCCATCGTTTCTTCCTACGTTTTCGCTCCCCGCGAGGGTCGTTTCTTTGACCTCGCCGTTTGAACCGCACATCAGCACCAGGCCGTTTGGAGGTCAACAAGTCGCCTGAGAGCCATGACCCTGATTTTCTCAGATGTGACAGATGCATGTTTCAGTATTAACAAAATGGCTACATAGATTCAATATGATTCAATGAGAGCCACTTATTTTCATTCAATGAATTTCATTGATTTTCATTGTAGCTGTTTTTTTTCATCCATGCGGCGCTGTAAAATTCTGTAAATTCAAAGCCTCCTTCTTGCCGAGTCTCGGCAAATGTACTTGTGACCACGGTTTGGATAGGAGTTCGCCTTGATTGTTGCTCAGATCTGCCACGCGACTTTTGAACTTTTGAATCCGTTTTTCCGGCCATTGACGTGCCAAGAAGTGGAAGTTCTGGCCGAGCTCATTAAGAATGGCCAACGCCACTTGGAGCGAAATCTGGGAGTTGCTTCATTCCACGCCCCAGGCCCCAGACTGCGACAACGACCCCCCGCTGAGGCAATTCCCACCATTGGCAGCAGGCAGGGTAGACTTCGGTGCCGAATCTTGGTGAAGCCAGAAATAGGTGGTATATATACAATCTGGTTATGACTAACATAGCCATGGAAAATCACCATTTTTAATAGGTAAACCATCTATTTCTATGGGCCATTTCCCATGGCTATGTTAAATAACCAGAGGGTAATATATAATACTGTAAATGGCTGGTAATCCCCAGCAAATATGGTGGTTTTAAGATCTATCCCCATGTTATGAGTTTCTGGTGGTGCCACAGTGTGGATGTTAACCGCTAAGCGGTCCAGGCTTGGAGCCTTTACTGTCAACGCTATGGCCGTGGTGTGTGGGAAGCTGAGCGGTGATCCTCAAAGACCGATATGACCAGTCTGGTATTTGGCACCAGGTTCCAAAGACAAATCTCAACATGTTGCATTTTGGAAATCCAGATTTGTTGAAAATGGCCATAGAAATGGTGGATTTACATGGATTTACCCATTAAAAATAGTGATTTTCCATAGCTATGTTAGTTTACCAGAGGGTGGAACCCCGAAGCCGGTTGGGCCGGATCTAGCATTGATTTCGATGGGAATCTGCTGAGGAACGACCCCTACAAGCACGAGAGCAGTTTCCTGTTCTTCGGCATGGACAACGAATATCCACCTGACACAGGAATCGCCACCGTCACCGGATGATCTTTTTTTTTGAGCGAGTGAAGGTAAGAATTCTTGAGATTCTGAGTTTAGCATAATTGTTTTGAGCCGGACATGTTGTGACATTGTGAGCTGTGACCCTCGACGTTCGAAGTCTTGCAGCAAGTCAAAGTCCCCGCACCGCTGTCCCAAAAGTGTTGAGCTGCGGAGACCCACATCAAGCCAAAAGAATAAACCTCTGAGATGGAGCTACAATTCTTTGGGAACTTGACACATCCATGAACACCTGTGGGTCAAATTATCAACTCATTATCAACTCCAAATGGATGGTTTAAGAATTTCAATACCAACAAACGGATCCATGCCCGACGACTTGTACCCTTGAGGGATCCATCGATCTGAGGCTTGGGTTTCTGGATATGTTGGCGCATCACGCCTGCATGGCTATGTACTCTCCAATGGAGGCAAGCTATGCCTGGCCCTGGCCAGAAACGGGGCCCGAACCTCAAATTCATCGGTGCTTCAACAAGGCGCAGAATTTTATGACCGCAGAGACGTTTTCTTTTTGGGTATGTAATCTTGATACAAACAGTAGGTAGCTCTACGTATGTTTTTCGACCTTCAAAGGCTTTAAGATGCTTTAAGGCTATGGCAGCTATTATTGGCTTTTGGCTTTGACATCTCCATCAATCTTTAACTCACCAAAGCTGTTGGCTCAGCCTTCCGCACGTTTCATGAAGCCATCGGAACAGTGGGGATGTCGCCAACAAACACGAAGAGAGTTCACCAACGAACATGGCGAACAACGCCCCGAATTGGATAGTCTGCCCTCAGAAGGGACCAAACATGACCATCCCATACCAACCCAATCTTTTTGGTCCCCAAACATGTTTTGTTGAATATCAAATCTTCTTTTGACTGTTTTGACCCCACACCTCAACTGATTGAACTTCACGTCTCACACCTGACCTACCCTCACTGCCCTCACTTTGCGGCCCCGCGGCCATGTCGGAGTTCAGCGCCAGAAGTGAGAAGCGTCGGCGAGTGCAGACCTTGCTGCCGGTTTTCCAAGAGTTGGAGGCTGGATATGACTGGATGATCGTCAGAGGATGAAACCCTGGAAGTGTTTGGTTTTAGATGGGGTTAGAAAATGGTTCGAACATGTTAGAGCACGTGGATGCACGTGGATTTCCCATTTTTTGGGTGGCTGATGATTCCCAATGATTCAGGAGTTTTGATGGGTCTTCCGGTCTTCCCTTTTTTCCCCCCAAGAATTCCACTGCTGATGGGCCCCTACCGGTGAAGGCCCCCCAATTGTGGAGGACTTGGCTCATACCGGTGCTCAGCTCTGCAAGAGATCGCGTGATTTGCAACGCGCTGCACCTGTCAACCTGGAGACGGGGGTGGGTGGCGATGAATGGAGGATTTCATCAACAACATGGGTATATCATGGGAATATAATTTAATGGATATATATATATATAATATAATATTTATATAACATATTAATATATAATATATTAGTAATATATTAATATAATATATATATATATATTATATGTATATATAATACCTTTCACGTAAGAAAGAATGCCTTGAGGAATGCATCAGCTCTGTTCAACCATTTCTTCCAGAGTTACAGAGTTGAACAGATACTTCAAGTGTGATTCTACCACTATACATAAGACGAACTGGAACACGTTTTTGCCGGCCGTTTCTTTTTTTTGCTATATTGGCAAATCGACAGGATGTTCTGGTGTGAATGATTCATAATGTGACAACATGATACAATCGTATACCCCCTGGTAGACTAACATAACTATGGAAATTGGCCCATTTATAGTTGATCTACCTATTCTAAGTGGTGATTTTCCATAGCTATGGTAGTTTACCAGAGGGGTACAATATGCATCACTAAGCCGATACTCAGCTGGGTCATCATGCAGTTGGACGACCCCATCGGGCAAAGTGGTTTCCCTCGGTCACACGATGAAATGGGTGGTTTTTTTGGGGGTCCGGACTGTTTGGACATGCTCATTCTGCACCATATATAGTTATATATATATACACATAATTTTTGGTGCCTACATTATCTTTCATTCACATCTTTTCATCATTTCTTCTGGCAATACATTCTCATCGTTCGCGTTCTTGTTTGTGAAAAAGAAAGTGGGTTACAGTTAGCTACAACTTACCCAGTGAGTCACCAGCTCAGCAAACTTGCATGGACCCGCAGGAGGAGATCTGTCATTTCGCCTCCCAACTTCGCATGGGTGTTCCTGCGAAGCTGCCGTTGGACGCCAAGAGCCTTCCGCTGGCGCCACTGCCGGCGGGCTTTTGGCTGCCGTTCCCGACCCTGGAGGACCGGGGGGGAGGACTTTGTTGGGGAGATTGTGTGGGATATTCATTATACTTCACTATGGATATCTATGGTTTAGAGATATTTCTAGATAGCTTGGTTCATACTAATACTGCAGACGACATAGTTATATTGATATTTAGATACAACCAGGGAGATTGGTCAACAATTGTCGGAAATTTACTGGGATGGGGTTCTCCCTGTTACTAAACCTCCCCCCCAAAGAATGAACCGCTGCACTCTTCTTTTTAATTGGGGGGTGCCTGGTATTAGGGGTCCCCTGAATAACAGATCAAAAACCTTGATTTATTATTCCTCTTAAATCTATTCATATATCGACCAACACTGGATTTTCGAAGGATTCCCCAATTATTGAAATACATACCACAATTGAAAAAAGAGACATGGGAATGTTGGGACCCTAAGTTAGAACCCCAAAGATATTCTTAGGGTCTGAAACTATTGGGGGACGTTTAGTAGTAGGAGGAAGGGATTGGTCTGGTATTTTTTGGCGCCGCTATGTGCGGGGTATTCGTCCCAGCCTTTGTCGAATTTTTAGAGCTGCTGCGAATAGCACATATTTGGGGTCAATTCTGGATGAAGCAATCATGAACCCTCCATTTGTTTTTGGTTTCTCAATGGCTTGATCCATACTCGCATGTCTGTTGTATCCCCCAAATGGCTCTTGCTTAATTAATTGGCTGTTAATAACCCATTTTTGTGGATGGCAAACCATGTGATAAACCCAATCGTGAGCCCAACTACTTGGTCGGGCGCTCATAGATGGCCGTATGGTTTCGTGCACTTTCATCTCAGTTTTGACACAAATGTATGAATGGTGATATGGCAAATCCTCCACGCTAGCCACTCGAAATGCATGTACAACTTCACATGTCCATGTTCATCTCTTGGCGTGTCATATTTTGACGTCGAAAAAAAACTACTTCAGTTGAGACACTTTCAGGTGTATTTACTTCAGTGCATGACTTTTATTTTCATCCACCTTTAATCTGCAAAAAGTCGAGACAGTTGCTCGAGAACCTCGCTTGGATTCTTTCCCAAAAGTGCATGGTTTCTCCATGCCCATTGAAACACTTCTAAAGACACATGCTCATGCAAGGTTGCGTCATCTCCTTTTTTATGTTTTCAAAAAAACAGGAAATTCAAGGAAAAAGATGTGTTGAATTCCAAGAAAAGATCTCATGACGTACCATCCCAGATGTGTTGAATTCCAAGAAAAGATCTCATGACGTACCATCCCAGATGTGTTGAATTCCAAGAAAAGATCTCATGACGTACCATCCCAGATGTGTTGAATTCCAAGAAAAGATCTCATGACATAACATCCCAGATGTGTTCAAGTCCAAAGAACGTTATTACACCCCCCCACCCCCCCACCCCCCACCCCCCCAACCAACACCACGCCAAAAAAAACAACAAAAAAGACAAAAAAAGAGGTTTCACTGAGGCGAAACACAAAAAAAAAGGAAAACATGCGCTCTCGCTGTGGCGCCAGTGCAGTGAACTAGCAAAAACACTGTTTCGTGACGCGGCCTTCTGCGCGCGCCCAGCCAACTACTTTCAGACTTTAAACCCCAACTATAGTGGGATGTGGTTGATGGGCGTGAATGGCATTGAATGGTTCAAGGGTTTTTGATCACCTGATGCTTTGGAGAGGAGGAAATCCCCAATGCCACAGCCTTGGCTACGGGACTCCGTCGATGTCCACCGCCACACGTGTCGCTGCAGCCGAGCCAGACCAGTGGGGCAGCGTGGGCAGTGCAGTTGAGGCAGGATGCTGTGGTGAATCACTGGGATTTGATGGGATTTATTAACCATAAAAAATCGGGTATTCAAGGGATCTAAACAAAACAAATAGAATAGAAGTTGGTATTTAATGTGGTTTAACAATGCAAAGAATATATCAGCAGCTGCCAGAAACGCTGGTATGGAATCTGTTCATTTTGAGAATGGGGACACGCATTGCTCGGGGGATGGGATGAGTTGAGATTTGAACAAAAAATGGAATTGAAGCGAACCAGGAAAGAATTGGCCTTTCACGGCAAGAAAAACAGTGTCAATGATAAATGAGGTCGTAGTTGGTGATCTTCGTTTTTTCCTAATGATTGCTTGATATGGTGCGTTTCCATGACGGATTGAACGCGAGGTCTTTGCATGCCTTCTGCAAAGGTTGTACCACCTTGCCCTGTTGCAGAGAAAAATGTGAGGTATCCATCATCAATCTCAAGATATTCATATATAGATATTCCAAGTTTTGCAACAGGCCTCTATCAGTTATAAATGAGTTATCCATAGGGATGGACACCAGTTATAGATGTTCAGATAGAACTAGTAACTAGTTCCAAAAAACATCAAACAACTATATTTCTATCTATTTCTAGGATATATATATATATATACGTTATTAAAAAAATATGTTTTCTCTATGATAAATCCTGGTGACCCATGGACTGCCAGGGCTCTGCCACCTGCCACCTCCGTTCTTTTCACGGTGGACGGCTCGGTGCCGCGGCTGGGGAGCAAGAGTACCATGCAAGCGACGCAGGCGCGCCAGCGGGGGTGCAACCACTGGGGGTATTATATGGCATTACGGACATGCGAACAAGGGATGCTTGGCATTTTTATATATATATATATTATATATATATTATAACTATAATTAATTATATATATATATATGTATGTTATATTTACATACACTTACTAAATAAAGTATAGAAGTCAAAGATAGTCAAAGAAGTTTGGGGCCTGGGGCCTAGGGGTCTTGCATTTTAACCACCATATATTCAAATTCAAAAAATGCAGGCCGCAAAAGTAAGATAGAACCCCCCCCTAACAGCTTTGGATGATGTTGACAGAGGTGCAGAGTTGTTTTCATCAAGGGGGGGGGGCAGGGCGGGTGATCAATTCATGCTCCAAGACTGGTCGGTGGTTTCAAAGCATGTGGACCCAGTTCCATTCTAAAAGGGCTGTTTGTTTTTTTTTCCACCAAGGTGTCTGAAAATGGAGTATACCATCCCATTAAAAAAAGCCATGGGGAAACAAGGCAAAGCCAGCTGGTGCTCTGCAAGCATAATCCCACACTGGGGAGCCTTTTGTGCAACATGACATTACCAGGCTCAAAAGTAACATCAAATCGGATCTGTACATTGTGTGGTTTGACACTTTTTCAGATATGATGATAGAAACAGGATAACCAACCAAAAACAGGAAAGCTAGCCGACACAACAGGGAGACTAGGCTAGACCAGTGAAATAATTCGGAGACAAAAAGATTGCATAAGCCGTAATGTGTCAGAGAAAAAGCATCAACTTGAGCCAATTGCAGCCACCATTATTCTGTGCTGATAGTGACAGTGAGAAGGTAATTTACCCAAACATATTTACCCAATATTTGATCAGTGTTTTGACCCTGAAGGATAATAAAACCAGTTGCCTCGTTACCATAGGGATTACGTTAATTACATCTTATTACATCTTATTTCACCAAAATGAAAGCTGCTACTGGATCTGATGGGCCTTAGATCTGGCTCATTTTTAAAGACTCACCGTGCTTCAACCGTGCACTGGTTGGATGGAACATACATCAGCTTGAAATAACCCACACCCAAGATAAATGTGAGAAAATCTTACAACAACATTGGTAGTATTCTAGTGATTTCCATTTATAGCTGCAGCTTTCCTTTGGGCTCTTGATGAGCCTACCTACTGGGTCTCTACGTTGGGTCCTGGTGATCCCGGCATGGTTGCTGAGAGCAATTGCAGGTTCTTTCGTTTTTTAAAGGGTTTTGCTTGACTTGTTCCCATCTGTTGTGTGCGCTGGCAATTGCATTCTTGTGAGTGTCGCTGCTTTCCATGTGCCAAGTGTCTTTTGTAAATCTTTTTGTGCAGTAACCTAGCCAACTTAATTTGATAACACTTTGACAAGCGTCAGTAGCTTGGTTTGCCCCTAGACATTGTGGGTTTTGACATTGACCTGTCATCGAAACCCTGCATTGACATTCCTTGTGAATCTGAATCAACATTGCCCTTTGGCAAAGAAACTTAGAGATGACATCCCTAGCTGTTACTATACATATGTTTGTTCTGGAACTTTTTGTTGAACCTCAAATTTTCGAAAGGTCGTCCCAGCTGCCCTCCGGGGGTTGCCAGGTCAGCCTTTGTCCAATGACATGGACAACAAGGCGACAATGTCCATTGGTCCCTCTTCCTCTCGTTTTGGTCTGGGAGGAAGGCACTGCGAACAACACTAATTTTAAGAGATTCAAGACACAGTTTGTTTTCCAGTTTTAACTTTTGACCAGTTTTTTCCAGGGTTTCACATGTCCAAACTTTGGGGATTCCATGACATGCCCAAATCAAGATGGTTTCCTCATGCAAAAAGGGGCCAAATTTGACTCACACCGCTTGCAGGCTGCAAGTCCTGTCGGGGGTTCAAAGGCTTGGGCGCCAAGGGTGATGTCTCCGTGGACAAGATTTATTGTCGCAGGTTTTGGGGGTGATATTGGGAATGTAGATGAATTTCGATAATATCAGTATATGCTAGTGATCGGGTAAAAGCTGAGGTTCTACCCGTATCCAACAAAGCTTAAGATATTGGATAAGATAGGATCAGATAGGCACAGATAGGATAAGGTAGGATCAGACAAAAAAGAAAGCTGTGAACATCCGATAAGATCGGAAAAGATCCGATAGCATACGAGGAGATGCAGTCAGAAAGGATGAGATATACGATCGGATAAGACAGTAAGTATAACATAAGATCGGAAAGGATACGTTCCAATCGGGTAAGGTAGGATAAGTCAGGAAAAGATCGGATAAGATAGGATGAGATAAGATGGAATAGGTAAAAGAAAAGCAAAGGACTAATAGGATTGGATAGAATAGAATAGTTACAGTAGAATAAAATGGAGGAGACTAGAATAGAGGAGATTAGAATAGAGGAGAATAGAACACATGTGAAAAGAATAGAGCAGAATGGAATACATTAGACTGGAACAACCAGACAATGGAATAGAGTCGTAAAATAGAACTAGATACATTAGACGGATTAGAAAGGATACATAAATTGATAATAAAGATGTTTGGGCATCTCACCAACCATCGCCAACCTAAGAGACGAAGAGATCATGTTGTGATGGGAATGAGCGCGTGGTGATATGAAATTTCCGAAATCCATTTTTTCCTCCTCAAGCCAGAAGAAATCAGGTTGTTTTATCATCACGCTCCTCACGGGTTTACCCCATCTTAGGAAAACCCATGTTTACTGTTGTCTCAAGGCGCTCTACGCGGACTCCATGGAGCTCGCAACCAAGAGCGACTTCCGGCGGGCCTACGCGCCGGTTGTCTGCCTGGTTGCCATGCCAGGAACCCAGGGACCAGGGACAAAGACGACAGGATTGAACCCACAGGAAATCCTAAATCAAGCCTGAATCAATCCTAAACCAACCCCAAACCAATCTTAAATGTATTCTGAACATACCGCAATAGATTTCGAAACGAAACCTAAACCAATCCAAACAAAGTTGCAAACAAAAGCAAAATAAACATTAAACGAGCGTCAAACGATACCTAAAGCAACAGGTCTAAATAGACCTTGAGCTACCCCCAAACAAACCATAAACCAACCCTAAATCCGCCTGCGCCGAAGGTGCCTAGGCGTGGTCACACACAGCTTTGTCATACACGATCTTTCACATACAACTTTGTCGCACAAAATGTTTCGCACAAAACTTTGTCACACACACACAATCTTTCACACATATCCACCACACACAACTTTGTCACACACAATCTTTCACACACAACTTTGTCACACACAGTCTTTCACATACAGCTTTGCCACGCACAATCTTTCACACAAAACGTTGTTACAGGAGTTGTCACACATAACTTTGTCACGCAGAATCTTTCACACACACACACATCTTTCACACACAACGACAACTTTGTCACACACACAACTTTGTCACAGCACTTCTGGCACTTGGCGACATCGACCTTAGTTCTGCGTGGCAGGGGTGGCACTTACAGCACTGGGCTGGGTCTGGTGGCGCGCTTGGTTGCCGTTAGTCGCCCGTGACGCCGCGGCACTTTGCGTGGCAGGCGCGGCACTTGGCGACACCAACCTTCGTTTTGCGTGGCAGGCGTGGCACTTATGGCACTGAGCTGAGTTTGGTGGCGCGCTTGGTCGCTGTTAGTCGCCCCTGACGCCGCGACACTTTGCGTTTGCGTGGCATGCGTGTCAGTTGGCGACATCGACGTTCCATTTGCGTGGCAGGTGTGGCACTGGGTGACATCAACCTTTGTGCGTGACAGGGGTGGCACTTATGGCACTCGCCTGAATCTGGTTGCGCGCTTGGTTGCCGTGTTAGTCGCCCGTGACGCTCTGGCACTGCGTGGCACCTGGCGACATCCAAGCTGCTTTTGCGTGACAGACGCGGCACTTGGTGACATCAACCTTCCTTTTCCTTGGCAGGCGTGGCACTTATGGCACTCTGCTGGGTCTGGTGGCGCCCTTGGTCGCCCGTGATGCCGCGGCACTTTGCGTGACAGGTGAGTCTGGTGGCGCGCTTGGTCGCCCGCGATGCCGTGGCGCTGGCAGGGGTGGCACCTGGCGACATCCACGCTGCTTTTGCGTGGCAGGAGTGGCGCTTGGTGACATCAACCTTCGTTTTGCATGGCAGGCGTGGCGCTTTCAGTACTGGACTTTCCCATACACAACTTTTTCAAACACAACTCCTTCACACACATCTTTTACACACAACTTTTTCACACACACACACAAGTCTCACATACACAACTCTTTCACAACTTTCTCACACAACTCTTTCACACTCGTACAAAACTCTTTCACAACTTTCACAACTTTCTCACACACAACTCTTTCGCACACAACTTTGTCACACACAATCTTTCTTACAAAACTCTGTCACACACAACTTTTTCACATACATTCACATACAAACTGACAATGTCCTCCAGAAATAAGTAAACTTACATCAGGATACCTAATTTCATTGCTAGTTAAAAATGGAGTTAATAAATGAGCTTCTAAATGGTTAATTCATACAATTTTTGGAAATTTGAAATTATCGATCCTCCACCATCTCCTTTATTTGTCTTTCCTCCCTTCTCCGTCCAGTATCAACCACTGTTTCTGATTGTTGGAAGAAGTTGACTTGGGGTTATCCGTTCCTTTAGTTCAACTAGTTCAATAAACCTAAAATCATCTTTCCAATAAACCTTGAACCAACCTGAGACAGTTTGCAGCAAATAGTCGAACATGAGAGGTTCGAACTCCACAGTGTTAGATACTGTCGCAACGGCAGGGTCGAGGTCCAACTTGTTCGCAAAATTATTCACACAATGCTTACAAACATGCGAATGCGTGATTTCCAGCTTCAATGTCCTGCCAAAAAACTCTATGGGCGAGAGGTTCCATTCCCAAACGTTTGCAAATACCACCAAAAAAAGTAACAGTATGGGTTCCATGGGATTTGTTTGCTGCCGTAAATTAGCCTTAAATATTGCATTTGCTTTTTCATCACTAGTACCATTTGTGTTTGATGCCGGAGTAGTCTTGTTGATCCGTCACCCCTTTGGGAACGGCCCAGGGAAAGATTTGGCCAAAACAACTACGAGTACCACGACGACATGATGTCTTGGACTCCGCCAACTACTGTGCCTTGGTTGTGCAAGATGATGGCTGTGAAGGCTGTGAAGGGTCAGCTGGGCTCAATTTCTGAGGACTTAAGTGTCCCGCATCACTAGTGGATACCCTGCTCGATTTGAAGTCCTGCAACAGTCAAGTACTATGGTGCACCGGGGGTTAGTAACTCGTTTTACCAAGAAAATTAAATGTTTGTTCAAGATGTATTTTTGACTGTTTAGTGGTTGCCCACCTGCCAGGTGAGGGTCTCTAAGTTTTATCAGAGGTACGTTCTCCGCCCATCTCCTCCCTTCTTGCGAGCGCCGGAGCTCAGTGGGCACCGCCGGACCTCAACTGCGAGCTCAACCGCAAGCTCCAGATCTGAGTGGGCACTGCCGAACCTGAATGGCGAGCTCCAGATCTCTGTGGGCACCGCCAGACCTCAACCGCGAACTCTAGATCTTAGTGGGGTACTGGGGACCTCATCGGCGAGCTCCAGATCTTCCAGCAGGCACTGCTGGACCTCAACAGCGACCTCCAGATCTCAGTGGGCACTCCTAAACCTCAACCGCGAGCTCCAGATCTCAGTGGGCACTGCCGGACCTCAACCACGAGCTCCAGATCTGAGTGGGCACCGTGGGACCTCAACCGCGACCTCAAGATCTCAGTGGGCACTGCCACCCCAATAGAAGAGATGAATGCCAGATAGAGTGGCAGAATGGAATGTCAGAATAGACGCAAGATAGAATGCTAGAATAGACTGTCAGGTTGGCTGCCAGACTAAAATGTCAAAAAATGCCATATATACTTCGAGATGTGATGTAAGAAAGTATATGACAAAATATTTTGTCCCGGCGGGGATCATTCGAAGGAAAGTAATTGGGCGTGTTTGTTTTTTTATTTTACTTTTTGCGCGGCATGGATTGACTTAACGGGTGACGCAAATGCTTCAAAATTTCGGTTTCAAGTTTCTGTGCATCCCGGATGCTGAGGACCGCATAGATGCTGAGTGCTTAACTTTGCAAGTCCCTCTTCGATTGCAAGTGACAGCTTCACCACAGACAAATGACACAAGTGACCAGGATTGAAATATCTCTGTTTTCTGGTTGGGTAGCGTGCAGCAACATGACACATGACGCAAGTGACTGTCATTCATCCTCAAGACTTTGACAAAGCAATCAAAATCATTCCAAGATTATAATATAAGTCTTGTGACCTAGGTCTGCCCTACCAAAGAAATTGTTCACCGTGCTTTGCAGTGCGCACAAAAATGCTGCCACCGTGCTTCCTGTGACGCACATCAACAGTCTTTAGGCAATGTATGAATGGCCATGTGACCGTAGATTTTATTTTGTGCCTCAGTTTGACCTAATTCTGGTAGGGACTGTTAGAAGATGAAACCAAATAACATAACATGATATAGCATGAAAAAAATGGGGGACCCCAAACACTCCGGTTCCAATACCTACGAATTCGATCACCCTTTTCATCTTAGTGATTATTACATCTAATGGCATCTTGTTATGTCTTAGATTGTTACCGTTTCAGCAGCCACTTCTGGTAACGAAGACGCGGAATAAGATGTAAAACTGGTCAAAATCCCTGGTTGATGATTAGTTCGGGGATTACATTATCCAGTATATTGATGTATATATAGATTAGATGTATATTGGGAATGATCTCTATCCATGATGAGAATCCCTATCAACCAACCAGTTTAATACACTGGCGGGTTTTCCACAGGCTCCTGTGTTGCTGGCTGAAGGTGCCCAGGTCTGTGCAGTGGCGGCCCCTTGGAGAAAGTGGCGAGGGTTTGGACCAGCAAAACGTAGCAATACATGGAAATACTATATGAAAAAACTAAATACTGAAAACAAAATATGGATTGAAATGTGGCAACCGCTGGGTCTTAAAGTGTCTTTAATGTTTGACCAACACTCATGGATATTGACCCTGCAAGATTTGTCCCACAAAAATGCAGTTCCTTGGCTGGAATGCCTACATTCGTTGGTTCGTGGTTGCTTGCCCAAGGCAACTTCGAAAACTCAGGCAGTTTTCACGAGAAACGTATTATATGTTTGACACGAGTGTTCCCAGTGTTCACCATTTCCATCGTGCCCCACACCTTTCCAGCTTCGACACACCACTTCTGACATCCAGAACTACCCGTGCATATCTATATTAAAACAGCAAACTTGGTTAGAACACTCAAAATTGAGAACCTTAGAAACCCTCTAGAAATTTGCACTAAATGTCCTTGCCAGCTGATGGTTCTTTCATGTTTTTATCTGGTCATAGTTGCACAGTCGTACTTGCATAACCAAATAGGTATATAACAATATATAAATCAACCCCCAAGGAAAGCAGCAATTGCTGGTTTAATTCTCATTTGCCTCATGGTTGGTGTTTGCCATTAGCATCCACAATGATTGTTGGTCAAGACCATGGGTTGGCCCATGACTTTATTCCCTGCGCACAAATAAAGGCGGCCGCTGGGAAGCATTTGTCAGATGTGATCACGGTAAAGACGCCCAATGCCAAGGCCGGCTGAACGGGAACTAATCCCATCCCAATGCTAAATACCATGTGAACCCCCCCATGTGAATAGATCCAATACACCAGGGTGGGATACCTCTAAGATCCTATGGCCTCTATAACCATCACACACCTTCTATACTAATACAGCAACCGAAAAGTGGCGAAAAAACACATTTTGAAGAAGTGCCAGCAGCCAACACGTAGAATCTTCTGTTGGACGTATGGAAAGAGACCTTGACAGGTGGCGGCACCCTCCGAGCCGGCGAAAGTTGCACCCAAGAAGGCAGAGGGATATGGCAGTTGTGCAACGTTTTTGTGTCCGACAACAGGGGTTTTGATGAATTTCGATCCTGGCAATGACTGGTTCTCGGTGCAAAACGCAATCTCTTTGCATGAATATGATCAAATATATACCCTCCGGTGAACTAACATAGCAATGGAACATGGCTATTTATAGTGGATTTTCCCATTAAAAATTGTGTTTTTCGGGGTCAAAAGTGGTCAACATGCACCATGCAGGCGACATCGAAATCGTCATTCCGAAACGATTTGCTGCAGCTTGGACGTTGAAACAGACGACAGTTGTCGCAGACTGGGGGCCACCGGTGGGTAGAAACAGGAACATGTGACCGCAACGGTTGGTTCTGTTGATTTGTGCAATTTTCCATCCAGCTGACAGTATTGCTGGTACGGTTTCAACTAGCAGCCAAGCTGGCCCTTTGCTATGACGGGGCAGATGGCATTGCTTTCCACGTTTGAAGCCAACACGTTTGTTTCAATGGGGATACCCCAACGATTGCCTTTTCAATCCGGAAAATGATGAACCGTGGGATTTGGGGTTTCCAAATTCGGGACAATGCTGACTCCCCCAGGTTGGCAGATTCCGATGACGATTAGGCAAGCTGCGAGATGGCCATGATGAAATCTCTGTGAGGCTGGTGGGCTTTTGAGGAAAGTATTCCATGGCTGCAATCAGTTACTTCATCGTATCTCCACGTATTCCTTCATGGTTATTCGTGTTTCACAATTTCTCTTGTATTTCCATTTTCATTGAAATTTGATGAATTTTGTGTGTAAGGGACTGATGTCCCATGTCCCCATTCAGAGTCCAGACACATCACCACTCCCTGGCATCCACGCCCCCCCCCCCTCGAAGGCCAAATTCCGAGCTCCTGACCATCACCAGCGACACCCTTCCTATTTGCCATCCTTGGGCACTATAGACGCCTGGGGTTCGCAAGGTTCTTGTGACCCGCATGGCAAGGAAGAGATGGCTTGAAGTGTCCCTTGATCTTCCTGGATCTAGTGCATCCAGGATGGTTTTGGGCATGCGGCATGGCATCATCCATCATCACACTATGTTCTATACCCCATGCTATCTTGTGCGAGCTCAAGACAGTGAGATGGCGAACTGGTGGCAGCATGTGGCAGTAGCTTGCAATGGCGGCCTTGGGAAAAAGATGCCATGGCCGGCAGGGCGGTTGACTGCATGGGTTGGGCGGGTGATCACCCTTGGGCAAATCTTCATGCTTTGTTTCTGATTACACATGATAGATTACATGATAGATTACATGATCGAGTACATGATAGATTGCATGATCGATTACATGAAAGATTACATGATAGATTACAGTATCTAAGATAGATTGTTTGATATACATTCTTCGGCTGAGCTACATGTGTATGACTCAACTTGTGATAAAATATGGCTCGTTCGTGGACCCACAAAGGGCCAGTTCTCAGGTCCAACTCGTACGAGTCCTATGATCCCGTGAAGGATGCCTGTGTGCAAAAGATTAAGGCAGCTTGGCTTCCTGGTCCAGTTGAAAAATGACGAAAACTTCACTGACCGTGTCACTTTGTTTCAGGGAGTTTCTATACTTTTAAGCAATACAATTCCATTGGCCATGCAGTATTTGGGATGATGTTTATTTTATTTTTATTTTTTACATCCTTTTGGGGTGAAACTGTTGGCTTCAGCACATTCTGACGCTCCACTAGTGATAATCCCGGACTTGGGCCATCTTGGACCTCCATTGCGTGCTCGGACCTCTAGTTGTATCCCTAAGGATTGGGAATGGTCCTTGTCACTATTGATAGAACCCTCTCCAACCGTTTTTGGCCAACGTTGACCCACAGACAGACATGTCATTCACGGGGGGTCAAACCGGATGGCTGACATATTTTTTCAATATCAGCAGAGACTCAGACATTCAACATTCAGATCGATATTTAATCATAGGACCCCATGAAACATGATGGATGATATATATATATATATATTATGGATATGATATATATATATATACAATATATAATATATAGGAGTTCACTTCACTTTGGTTGCCATAAACATTTCATTTCGTTGCCTTTTTTAGTCCTAAACGCGGAGGCGTTGCAAAGGTCCAGTGAAGATGCCAAGAAGCAGTGGTCACTCGTCGCGATTTTTCGACACAGAAACAAAGATCTGCGGAGTTGGATAGGAGGCTCACTTTGGGAGAGCAACACTTGCCTTTTTTGAGGTGGAATTTCTGCGTGGCAGCCTCAATGGCGGCAAGGTTGACGGTCAAGATGGATTAGATACTGACAACTGGAGTTTCGTGGGATTTGGAGGTGATTTCATCACCCGAACTTGGGATTTAGTAGTACAACAGAAGGATTTCATCAGGTGACGATAGAACTTTGGGTTTGTATCAGAAGGGCGGATTCTTGAAACCTGGCATTTCAGTGAGGAACGTGATGAGAAGTAATTGCAGTAAGCCATGGAATTTGAAGGTTCCAACTTTGCAGACAGCCCCATAATATGATCATCAGATATTTTGGTCAGTTGATGGTTCAATGGGGCTCCATACTGTCACTAGCAGGCTAGGGACTGGAGCACAGCATGATGGTAATCAGCCTGCATCTAAGCTGCGATCTTCAGCGGATGACACCAGCTGTTTTTCTGAGGACAGCCAACAAGGAGGAGTTCGAGATCCAACGCGTCAGCTCAGACTGGTCTTGTTTTGTGCAGATGGTGGAGAAGGGGGTTGCAAAAATTTCGCTTGCACCCCCCAAAAGATATAACAACAAAATCCTACTGAAATATTGGCACTGTAGATTATTCTGTTAATCTCTTTTCTTTTTCCCCACCTGCCAGGTGAGGGTCGATTTTAACAAAGGTGCAACTCCTTCCTCCTCTGCCAGCTCCGGATGCTGTGGGGCGCGCCTTGACCCGAATATATGCTAGAGAGAATGTCAGATAGAATTCGAAGGTCTGCGCCAAGGTACTTTCTCGTTTGTTGTCTTGTTCAGGTCAAGTGTCTGTCTCAAGGATCCCCATTAAAACACGACGGACGACGAAAGACGACGAAGAGAAAAAACGAGCAAAAGGGTTTCAAGGGTTCCTCTACGGGACCTCCGGGGGAAGAAATTCCAAGGGTTCCTCTCCGGGACCTCCGGGGAGAAAAAATAAAAATATTTTTTTTTAAAAAATTAAGACGGGCACATACCATTGAGAAAAACACATAGCATGTTTTATGCATATTTGCAATGTTCGGTCGCAAGTGTTCTTCCCCGGGGTATGGGTTTGTCTCCGGGATTTTATTTTATTTTTTATTTTTTTGGCAGCCTTGAGCGCGAACCTTCACTGTGGGAAAACACTTGGCCTTGAGAAATCCTTCGAACATGGGAAAGTTTTCCAGGAATACGCTTGGGAAACCAGGACCTTTGAGGAGGGGAAAAAGAAATCACCTTTGATACAGGGAGGAGGGTTGAGACAGGCACATACCATTGAGAAGGTAGAAAACCCTTCATCCAGACTTTTGAAGAATGCCAGATAAAAATGATAAAACACAAATAATGTCAGCATATAATTTGGGTAAAACAATAATAAACCATCCCACAAATCACAATTTTTATAGGTGGTATCAACTATTCCCAAATGGGTGGTTTTATTATTGTTTACCCACATTATACGCCATATATACTTCCAGATGATATTGCAGAAACTATGTCAGAATAGTGTGTCAGGCTGGGGATCGCTCGAAGTAAAGTAATCCTTCCAAGGTCTTCAGACCCACCTCCAATGTTCGCGCCAGGTCACACGGTGAGAGTGCTGCAAGAATTCTTGTCAGGTTTAGGATGAGGAATCAATCAAGATCTCAAAGGTACAGGACATAGACAATGTACATAGATAATCATGTTATAACGTCATTATATATATATATATACATATTGATCATATTGTTATATATATATATATATACACACATCTGTTTTATACATAGAGAGAGAGAGAGACCACTTCACTTCAAATGCGTGCATAGAAATTTCGTTCCCAAACGTAGTACAACAATGCTTGTCCAACAGGCCTTTTCCTTTTCGCTCACAGCCAGAACTTTCCTCACCTGCGTGTAACTGCGCGTCACACAGCCACAGCAACGAAAATTCCTGGAGTTCCAGTTGTGTCATGGGGTCATTCAGCGACCAACACCCCATTTGGGACGACGATCCAGATTGACTCATATTTCGATGGGTCGAAACCAGCAACCACTTATTTAACTTATTTATATATATATATATATTATATATATATATTATATATATATATATATATTATATTGTATTCATATTATATCATGTACCATAATATATATATATATACTGTATGTATATGTTCCATCGTTCTTTTTCTATGTTGGGAGTCCCAAACAGTGACCAACCAGTAGTATCAATTCTCCGCAAAAGTCTGATGGCTGCTCAATTTGAACAGCTTGGTCCTCGTCTAAGTCACGGAAGCAAATCTCGCGAACATGACATCGAGAATTGGTCATCGTACTTGGACCCAGATGATCTAACAATCGATGGATGCTTGCTGTTCCTAGACCACCAGCGATCCGTGAAATTTGGCACCAACCTTGAAACATGGGTTGACATAGCAGATCATTTTCTGTTTTAAGCGGTTGCCAGTACTGGTGATTTTGGCTTCTATGTTCAGTTCAGAGAGAGTTTGAGACTTCCTGGGTCCGTTTATCTTGGTTCCAAGCAGTGACCTGGATGCTGGCACTTGATAGTAGTCTTTCGTGCACAAGAGATAGCCTTTCAACCAAACAAACCTGAGGGTTTTTTGTCGACATGGCGGAGATGATTGTCACAATATTCCTAAATGCAAGCTCCTGCAACCCTTTAGACAGGAGACACAGACCTGAAACATCCTGAAACTCAACATAACTAAGAGGCACAACAAGCACAAGTCTTCAGGTTTTAGGCCACTGGACATTCACAGCGCCCAGCTGTTCACCATGGGCTGTGGTGGTTCCTCGGAGGCTGTTGTGAGTCATGTGAGTTGGATCTGTTTTGTCAACGGGGCGGTTATGGATTTGACATGTGGAGGTTTCCAAGTCGTCATAGGGCTACCCCTAAATCATCCATTTATAGATAGGATTTTCCCTTAGAAACCCATTTGGGATACCCCCGAGACTATGGAGTTTCCACCCATTGGTAAACCAATATCCTTGGGGCTAACGTGACCCTTATGCATCTGGGTCACGTTAGCCCCGGTCTTCTGGTTGGAAGTCATGGGACCAGTCTGTTCCGCAGATTGGAGGTATCCTTATAGTCGCAGCGGATAATTCCAGTTGTACAACTAATAGACTGTGAGATAACTGATCGGCAGACTGATCGGAGTTATCCATTTTGCCAATCGACTTTTTTTTGGTCATGTTGCCATAAGTTACCATCACTTTCCCCATTAAAAGATGTCAGTATACGTCACAGTTATTGGGGTATCTGTATCCACCCAGAATTTGGACAAACCTGGCGCATCCGGGCCAGGCGAAATATGCGGCAAGCTATCAGGCACCTGAGCCATTTGGGCCTTGGTTTGATGGGAAAGCAAAGTAGATCAAATAGCGTGCCCCAAAATTCGTTGATCAAGCATCATTTTTCCGATTCAAATTGCAATGTTGTGTTAATTATACGGTATACGACCTTTTCTGACAAAGCCAAGTTAGTCGTATACCTTTTTTGGTTTAGTGTAAATGGAGGAAGACACATATTTTGATATGTTGCGTGCATGCAAGATTAGCCTTGCCATGGATCTTGCCAAGGTTCTTGATAACGATTCTAAGTGCTGGATGCTATTGGAAAACATGGGTACACCATGCCTCAGGCTGTGACAGGAAGTTCACCACAGGTGGGGGATAGGGTAATTTGGCCAAGTCTTGGGGAATTGCACCTGACAAGAGCTGTGCTTTTTGTTTGGAATCCGACGCGAAGAGCTGCGTGACAACAGAGAGAAAGAGATAGCTGAAGGACGATGCAAGTACACAATTGTCAATTTGCAAATGTCTAAATTTGTGTATTACTTTGAACAAAAAGGACAGTGTGGGAGCAAGCAGTGTACTTGCTAAGAATTTCAGAATTGTGGCCCCATCCAGCTGTTTGGACATGTAAAGAAAGCAAGATTTGGCACTTGCAACTCACTGAGTGGAGATGAGTGGAGTATGATCTCAAGTCGTGTTCCTTGAGAAACAACGCATCAAGTGGAGGTGTTACTAGATATATATATCCAGTAATATCATGTAATATCCATTAATAATATTAATAAAAACTCATATCCAATATTTCAAACATTTTCAAACAAACCTGCAGCTAGAAGCGCCTCTTTTCTGGTCACAGGCTGCCACCAAGGCCACCCCGAAGGCCACCCCGAAGGTCACCGAGCAGGACAAGGCTCAGGCTGCCCCGCAAGCGGTGACTTGGATGGTTAAGCAGGTCTCATTTTGGTGCCGTGGATGGCCTTCATTCTGGTGGGTCTGAAATGCCCAGTTTTGGTGGGTGAAAACTCAATTTTGGTGGGTGAAGATCAACTAACTCTTTGGTGGGACAAAAATCAAATCGGTGGGTGTTCCATATCGGAGGGTGAACACTTTATTTTGGTGAGTGAAAACCTCCCTGATCTCCCTTTTTTTGATGCGTCCCGGTTTTCAAAGATGTGCAAAAGCCCTGAGGCGTCGCAAGCCTCACAGGCATCCACGGAGGATGGTGGTGCTGCAGGGGGGGCTGGGGAGCCCGGGCCCAGTGGATCAGCTGAATTTCTCTGCCATTGATGGAGAAGGTCTAGTTAGTCTAGTTCTTCCCAAACATCAACGGTTGCCTAATTTCCCCCAAATTTCCGCATATTTTTGTGGAGATTCCCCAAAACTGCTTGCCCCCAAGCTTCAAAGGCGGCATTTTTTGTTTATGGAACTTGTTGCCGTGCCGAGGAAACTCCCGAAGAGCCCGAGGTGGCAGAAGGATTGGAGGCTGGGTCTTGGTGAAAATTTTGGGCCCCAGGGAAAAAAGATAGCATCATCCTACCAAACGTTTGGTAAATCATGGCAAATCATGGCAAATGGTTTTTCTATCTTTTTGGCGGTTATTATACAGTAAACTCAGTAAACTTTTTGTTAGGTCAAACATGTTGAGTTTTGGCCGCGCCCTGCTGTTGTCAGCTGGTGTGCAGGAAAACATTCAACATTCCAGACAAAGACTTCGAGTCTAGCAACGGCCATAAAAGTCTAAGATGTCACACAATTTGTCAATCCCAAGTTGGGTCCTGCCAATATTTGCCATGAGAGAATCGTCCACGGTGTGGTAAACCCAATCATTCATGAACTGTGTAACAATTTTTGGTGAGTATTTCATGTTATGTTGACAACCCTTCAACAAATATGCAGGTTTCCTAAAATGGGGCTACCCCCAAATCACCCAAAATTAGACCATTTGAGTATTGAAACATGGTTAAAATGGGATCCCCATTTTAAGAAACCACCATCCATATGTGGTTTGGTCTTGGGATGTCTTGGGTCTTGGCTCTGGGGCTTCCCCAATGTGGTATCCATAACCAGGCGCCACTGGCTTGGTGGAGCATCCACACAGATTGGATTCGAGATAGTCTCTCGAGACCTGGAGGGATGGCATGGGCGGATCGATGGGTCAACTTACCTCTGCAAATACAATATGACTGGGAGAATAACCATCCAGCTATACTGTAGCACCTATATAAGGCATTATAAGGCATAAGGCTATATCTTTCAGATGATTTTAGGGTACCATCCGGGTATCAGGGTTTTGACCCAGAACCAAGTGAGGAGAGAGTGTGGAGATTGGATGATGTGGATTTGAGGATCCAATTTTGAAAAGGTGATAGAATTGGCAGGTCTAATTCCAGTCATTTGGATTCATTTGGAGGTTTCCCAAGTCATCAGGACCGCAAAATGATCCAGGCTCTTTTCGTGGGCAGTGCTTGGGCTTGTAACCCGAGGTTCCCATGAGATTCTTGCTGCCTACAACTTCTTCTTTGAGCACATTGGCATTCGAAAAGGCGTGGAGCCCAACCCAACTGGTATAGATCTCAACACACCGTTTAGTGGCAGTTGAACGGATCATCTCATCCAAATTGCCATCTGTACTGAAATTGAAGTGCCCAAATTGAATCCCTTGGAACTCTATTGGAATTTCAGACATTTCCATTTGCACATTTACATGCTGCTAGCCATGGAGGTTGGCGGACACCTCCCTTCAAAAGAGAGGATGTGCAGGTCCAGCGAAAGGGTAATCCCTTGCACCTCATGTTGCCAGAGACCCTGGGTTCATATTGGATTCTTTTGGATCTCACTTGGGGGTCCCTGATCAAAAAATATATATTCAGGGGTGCATGGGACCGCCCATTGTTTCTTCAAAGACCAGTTATATGAGTTATATGCCTGGTAGATATCAATAAATGTGTGCAGGATTTTTCTCAAATTCGCGGCTGTAGGTCATTCTTTGGAGCAAGACCCTCCTTGCTTCAGTCAATGAAAAACAATGCATTGGCTGTGAGTATGAGCAGCTTTCAACCGGAATACGGACTTTTGGATCCTCTAAACTGCTTGCTTTGTGTTCAAAGGTCAAATGTTGTCGCAGAAAGCTCCCAACCACCGATACCACTTGCTCCAGACCCCAAAAAAGCAATCTGGTTGGTGGAGCAACCATCGTTTGTGGCTTTTAAATGCTTTTAACGTTTTTATTTCCGACACTGTGTGATGATCGATCCTAAATGACTATAATTTCTTTCAGGGGGTTGAAACATGTTGAAATCCACAACCAGTCAAAGTAATATATTTCGTTTTAATTTGATACAATTTAATACAAATTAGTCATTGAATATACCTCTATTCACGTTTGGTTATGCCTCGATTTTTGAATGTAGTACCCTGAAAACTCACATGGGATGTTGAAACATGTTGAAACCACCAGCCAGCCATGGCGCCAGGGGCCCTTCATGGCTGCAGCGGAAGTGGTGGCGGTTGTGCGCTGGGGAACCCGATTTGGTGAGACCATAAACCGACGAAAATTGGGGCGAACAACTGTAGCCAACAATCGACCGGGATCTACTATGAATGTAGATGAGTTTGGCGCACAGATTTTACAATGTTGAGCCATCGGGTTTCTCAGAGAATTGGATGGTCAATGTGTCAATGTGTCAATGATGAAAGTTTGGTGGCTTTAGAATGTCGACAAGGACCCACAGACGGAAATAGCAGTGGCTCAGGCTCGTGGATTTCCAAAACATATCCAAACTAGAGGCGATCAATACCCAAATCAGCAACTCAACTGAGGGCATCGAATCGATGAGATGGGACAGGGCATGGTGCTACGACAACTGGAGGCGCGTTTTATAACAACTGGAGCTGTTTTTGGGGATCTCCAAAACAGGGATACCCGGCCTGGTAAACTGTCACATAGCTATGGAAAAGATCACCATTTTTAATGGGAAAACTCACTATTTCTATGGCCATTTCAATAGCTATGTTAAATTACCAGAGGGTATATCCCCAAAATATCCCCATCATAGCCCCAAAATCTGGCATTCATATGGGATATGATGGGGATATTACTGATGGGAAATGATGGGAAATGATGGGATCATATCATGAAGATATGATGGGCATCTATATAGCGATTTTTTTTTTGGATGGATGAAACACCTGTTCTACTACAATCTTTGGCTGCGGGTAACCAGGCATTTGCCAGATATTTCATGCTGTGAACCAGGCATTTGATCAGCATGTGCCGTGGCCCAAAATTGGATTGACTATGATTGACTCATCTTTGGGGGATGCTCATAGCACAATTTTGTTAGCGGGCAGCGGGCAATGGCCAATATCAAGATTGTCATTTTCATGCTGGGATGACCATAATGCATACGGCAGATTCCATGTTTGAAAATGATCTATGGAATTTGCCGGGATATAAACTGAGAGTTACTGAGATAGTGGGGATGTATTCCATGGTTCCATGTATACAATAGACGATGATGTTTGGGTGTGTTTGGAAATGGGCTATGCCATCCCCTTTTTTTTGGCCGCTGGATTGACCACTGGATTTAGGGCCGCCCTATTTTCAGACAAACCTCCCCGTCGAATTGATTGGGGGGAAACACGTAGCTTGGGAAGGCCTATTTTTTTGCTGGGAAAAAAATGGAAAAACCACCATGGATTTCCTGCAGATCTTCCCACCAAAGTCAATCCTGTTTGACATCCCAATTAATTGTGGCATTCTGTGGCTTAGATCATGTTAAATCCCCATGTTTGCATGGAAATTCCACAAAATGTTCCCTCCCCAAGTCCCCAAGCTTTTTCAAAGCACTCAGCTGTCACAGGGCTCCTCCCATGACTTTCTCTGGGGCTGGAGCCCGGAAAAGGCGCCCAGCCAGGCTTTTCCAGGGTGGTGACCGGTTGTTTTCTTCCCGGAAATTATATCGATGGACCAATGAACCGATTGTGGATCTTTATTGATTGTGGACTGATAATCAATCATCAATAAGGTTGATCAATGATCCCATCAATAAGGATGGTACAGTATATCAATTGGATCCAAATTAAAAAATATTCATTTATTATTAATTTCATTTAATTTCCATAATTGAAATGGGATGGTTGATCAATGGGATGGTTGATTAATGGGACGGTTGATTAATGTGGGATGCTCATTGATTATCAATGAGATGGCAAAACAACGTCGGATGGTTCAGTGGTTTCCGGGAAATTCTCGGAACGTGTCCCGGCAATGTCGGATGGTCCCGACATGCCCAACCGGTCTTTCCCCAGTCATTGCAGAATGCTGCAGTGGATGACGATGGCAATTGACTTTCATATTCTGATGGGAATCATGTCTATTACATGAAAAAACACGTAGCTTCACCCAACATTATCCCCAACATTATCCCAAGAAACTTGGCTTGTCCTATTGGGTGTCTGAAAATGGGGCATACCCCCTTCAACAATCAGCAAAAACAGAGGGGAAAATGACCAGTTTCCCTTTTTGAACCATCCAATTTGAGCGAAGAATGGCCGCCAGGCACCCCACCTCCCCGACTTTTTCCGTGGTCTGGTCTTCGCCACCATGAGCGATGCCAACGGCCTCGTTGCTCGGTGATTGATTTATAACCTCAACATCCATGGGTTGATCATGGGTTAATCGATGGGTTAATCATGGTATTTTCCCTTCTCAAATGGCCATAAAATTATGGGTATACTGTAGCATATACATTGCATATACCCCATTTTCAGAGCCAGCATCTCAGGTTGAAGGGCTCGATGATGCGACCCTGGACTACTATGTAACTCGACGAGATGAATGGGCTAGGCATGGCTAGGACCATCTGGGTCTAGTTGTTCCACCCATTTTTGGGCGGAACGCTGAGGTCCAAAGCCATCCCATCTTAGAGTCTTCAACGGTGCTGGAACGGATTGTCACGGAAGACGTCCTGAAGAAAGGCTAGCTGGCCAGCTCCTCTTGCTTCTGAGATGCAGAAATAATTAGCCACTTGATGAATGGGCAATTTTTTGCTTGGGAAGTATGGTAGAAATATTGGTAGAATGATAATTATACCATTGAATTACTATGAATTATACTATACCATTAAAAATACCATTAAACCAACTTCCAACATCTTTGCAGGTCCAGCTGAGCCCATCGCAGAGTCGGCGGCCGAGGCGTGGGCGAGCTGATCTTTCGCGTTGTGAATTGGGAGAGAGGTGTAGAATCAGCTGGTGGGTCAAATGTGGGTCAATTTTTATTATATAATTTCCACGCATTTACCATGAAATTTCCATTAGCTTCCATCAATTTCAATCAAGTTCCATCAAGTTTTCCAGCAATTACATTCATTTTTTTGGTGGTGAAACGGCTGGTCGAAACAAGAAATTGCTTCGTCAAGCAGTTTTTTTTAAAAAGGAAATCCACCAGCTCTCAGTCAGGTAGAAGCGAAGCCCGAGCCAGCCAAGAAGACAGAAGTTGAGGCAGTCGCGGAAGGCGAAAGCACCGAGAAGAAGGAGGAAGCAACCGAAAAGCAGGACGATTTTTCAACTGTTTGCTATCCTTTTTGGGATTTGGAGCGGTGTGGAGCTATGGTTGTATCATGTTGTACCCATATTCGCCATGAAACTGGGAGCATCTGGGAGCTACGAACTGAGGAACTGCCAAACACAAGTAGACGGTCTATGCACAAAAAATCCCGCATGTTTGCTAGTCCCATTTGCTGGTGATGGCTCAAGTATGTTCAACAACCATCAAACTTCAAGTCATCCAAGCTTCTGACGAGTTGCTTTGACAACCATTTTCCGCATGATATTATTGGGGATTGGGGTCAGTCCCTTCATCCACTTCCCCCACTTGACCAGTTGAATCACATGGGTTTGTACATTTTCTTTTGGGAACACAGTAAAGAATTCTCAATTTCCCCTCTGATTTAGATTCTCTGAATGTTCAAATCAGGTTTAGAACCTTATTTTTTTTCAAATTGTTGTTCTTTTTTAAACATAGCGTACGCAAAAATTGGATGGTCAAAACATTAAAAACATAAGGTTTTGCATTAAAAGGGCCATTTGGGTTAATGATCCTTTCCCCCCTTCATGTTACACACCCCTCCAGAAACCATGGTGGATGTGGGGGATAGGGGGCATGGGATTGAATTAGCTCTCAAAATTGGTGGGTTGTTTGCAAGACGAAAAGAGATTTCAACCAACAAACATTAGGAAATCGGAATTGACGGATTTAGTGAAGCTGGTGATTTGACCCTTTGACCCAGAAATATGGGGATATTCATGATTATATATACGTATATATATATATTATTATATTATATTATATTATATTATATTATATGATATGATATTATATTATATTATATCATATATATATTATTATATATATATATTATATTATATTATATTATATTATATTATATTATATTATATTATATTTTATATAATATAATATAATATAATATATATATATATATATTTGTTACTGGTATTCCCCATGCATCAGCCAAGGAGGCGGCCAAGGAGCCGAAGGCTGCCGCGGTGCCGGCCGAGGCTGCCGCAGTGCCGGCCGAGGCTGCCGCGGTGCCGGCCGAGGCTGCCGCGGTGACGAAGCCTAGTGAGGGCGATGCGAAGGCTGAGACGCAGGCAGTTTGAAGGGCTATGAGGTGAAAAAAAATGGTGTTTTGATATGATTCGATGGGGGATTTCATGAGATTCAATGGGGATTTGATATATATATATATAGTCATATTAGTCATTTAATCAGATTTCACGATGGTTGAATGGGTATTTGATAGTGATTTGATGCTCGTTTTAATCAGATTCAAGAAAATTTCATGGGCTTTAATGGGATTTAACCAACAAACATGAGGATATAATATGATATAATGAGGATTCACTAGTATGACCACCCAACATTTCGCCATTTTGAGGAAAACGATCTCCCTCCCAAAAAAGGTGCGCAGAATGGCAGCTAGTTGCAGCTAGCTTTCATGGAATTCATCTATTCTATATAGATCATTATAGATCTATAAGTTCCTCATAATTCCTCCAAATTCATGAGTTAGATGATTTATTGTAGATCAATTCCATTTCTAAATTCAATAATTGATATATAATAATTCCTGATGATCATTACTGTTGGATCTATATAATTCCTCTAATTCTATTTCTTAGCTGACCTTATGACATGAGATGATGTTCATCGCGTATCGCGTAGCTTGACCTTTTGGTCATCGCGCTGGCGCGTCACAGGTGATGTTCAACGACAGCCATCACAACCGCCTCACTAGAACTTGTGGGGATGGCAGCGACTGAGAACATGATAAAAACCTCTCGAATTTTACAAATTGATTTATTTCTTCACATTAATAATCATTAATATATAGTTTGCATATAGTTTGCATATAGTTTGCATATCCTGGGAGGATTGAGAAAGCTGTCCCGTTCCCTCGAATTTCGGCCTGGAAGTCCATCCGAATTCCGGGCCGGTCATCTTTGCTCGCCAGGTGAGTAGCACTGAAGTGGCGAGATCACCCAGCACTGCTTGGGATGTTGCTTGGGATGTTGCCGGAAAGAAACTTTGGGACTGCAACAATCTGCACCATCCTGGAGATGCAACAGGATGCAACCATTTCCTGTCGCATCTCCACATTCCCAGTGAAACATAGTGAAACATCCCGGGAAGCCAGTGCGACCATGCGCGACTGAGGCCGCTGCACCGTTGATGCTGGGAAATGGATAGCCGCTTGGTGGCAGCCTCAGATTCTGGTGCTTGGTCTATCCAGGTATCTCGTTCTCCAATGACAGAAGTGCCAAAGACTCCGGCTGATGGTTTGTTGGGAATTCTCCCAAGATATTCCCAGGATGATAACTTTGTCATACCACAAGTACCCCTTTATCCCTTTTCAGATGGAGCTGGGTTAAAGTAAAACCTTTGGTACGATATCAATTAGGTGACATGAACATCGAAACTACTTGCACTAGCTATTTTGAGGGCCGGCCTGCGAGGCTTGACCACCCAATGGAGGTGTTGCCGCTGTTGAAATCACTTGGCAATGGCAAATGGCCCTGAAAAGTGTGTAGGAAAACAATGGAAAACAGATAAAATTCATGAATAAACACCAAGAGTCACATTTTCGTGAGAGCAAGAGTTGGACATGGCTGGCCAGACAACCAAAGGTTTCTGGTTCATGTCTATGGCAACACAGTTGTCGAACTGCTGAGACATGCTGAGGCTACGTAAAGCCCTATGTACCCAATGAGATCCAAGAAGAATATTGATCGGTTTTTCATAGTTTTGCTTGGTTTGGCGTATTTGCCACCAGTTTCTGCTCAATCTTTCTGACAACTGTGGCATGTAGTAGATGCATTTGGTGCGGGACTGCAGGCGGATGCCAAAAACATCCAAGCCACTTAGGGGGACCTGTTGCATCGTACAGGATTCGCGACCGTTTCTGATGCCAGTGCAGCAATGGCATTGTGCATACTAACAAGGACCATCTTTGTTTTGTACTGCATAGGTTCGGTGGTATTATATCCCCTTGCTCAAAGCCCCTTGAGAACAAATTTGCAATGAACAAACCCTCACATACAGCTGATGTTCCTATTTGAATGGCGACTTGATATTTCTGCGTTCAATTGCCCGAGAGAAATCTGCCTATATTTTCGTTTCATTCTTGTTTTTACATTTTTTTTGCATGCTTTTACGATTCTGCTCTCTCTTTCTTTCCATCTACCTGTCAGGTGGACACAAAAATCTTCGAGCATCTTCGAGCTAAGCCATCATAGAGACGTGTCTAAGAGATACAACTGACATCAACTGATTAAGGTTATCAACATATCAATCAACATATCAACATCAGGGTTTCTAAGTTTGCCCCAAGATGACCTTTTTTTAAACCATATAAACCACCCCAGTCCTCCATCTGTCCGTGTCACGTCACGCGGCGTGGCTCAAGAAAAAAGGGGGCCCTGGCCTGAACCGATGCTCTTTTAGCGCCAGATGGATGATGGAGGTGCTTCCACCTCAGTGGGTAAAAGAAATAGCATCTGGTTATTTAACATAGCTATTGAAAATGACCATTTATAGTGGATTTTCCCATTAATCATGGTGATTTCCCATTAATCATGGGGATGAACAATGAATAACAATGATGAACATATTCTACCATCTGGTTATTTAACAATTCGCCATGGAAAATCACCATGCTATGAATAGGTACACCATCTATTTCTATGGGCCATCTATACCATGGCGAACTGTTAGTCATAACCAGAGGGTATAACATAATATGACAGCACCAGGTAAAAGAACAGATTGAAAGGTGAATTCCTACTAAAAAGAAGTGGAATGAATGTCCTTCGTATCTTTTTTTTCAGTTTCCTGATAGGAAATGATGTAGAATCGGTGGATTTTGGTACCGTCGTTGGGTAAGATTCAAGCTCCCAACTCGACCCAAAGTCCCATCATAATTAAGTTGAGCTGTTGTGCATTTGAACTTCGTCTTGGAAAAGCAGATAAAAGCACAAAGAGCATGAATTCCAAGAAATAGACAGAACTAGTCTTAATTCCTCTAGTTCAACATCCATTTCTTGGGGAATTCGTATTTTAGTACCATCTTCTCCCATTTTTTTGGCAAGGCTCCCTGGGGACCGGGGAGCCCCATGGATCCCCATGGCTGCAGGAGCCATTGGCAAAATCCGGGCCGGAGCTCTTCCGTGAGTTGAAGCGCATCTATGCAGTGGCCCAGGTGGGAAGATTTGGATTTTGGGATGGCCTTGATGGCCGTGATGGCTGTGAGATGAGACAGAGATTTCAAGATTATCATTGTGATATATTGTGATGATGGTATATGATGGTGATAGAGATTCTGAGTCTGAGTAAAAAATGACTCTGTAGCTGTTGATGATGACGACGACGATGACGATGAGGACGATGAGGACGATGAGGACGATGAGGACGATGAGGACGATGAGGACGATGCTGCTGCTGCTGCTGCTGATGATGATGATGATGATGATGACGACGACGACTTGGCAAATGACAATACGGGGTACTTGATGATGCGCGCTTGCACCCAGATCCTGCCTTCCCGCAGCATTTCTGATCAACTCCGGATACCTTCAGCTCCCACAAAGCCTTCCGGGCAGCGACATCCGTGCTACAGATGGGAGGCGGCCAAAGCACAGAGGAGGGCGTCAGCAACCATTCGGGCTGTCGTGCGATCTCAGATCGCTTGGATGCCACCTTGTTTCGAGGTGGCTATCAAAATGAATCAGGCACACGAGCCGTGCTGCATGGAGTGTACCACGAAGGGAAGGCAATTCAAAAGAAAATGGCAGGAAATGGCAGTGTGTCAAAACCTTGTACCCCTGGTGAACATCAAAATAGCTGGTAAATGGATGGTCATTCCCTTAAAAATGGTATTAATAGGTATTGACCCATACCCAAATGACCGTGGTTATGATGCAGAAAGGGACCGTGCCAAGCAGCAGTGGCATGTGTTCGGTGCGGCTGTTCAGCGTCACAATGATCGTTTGGAGGAGATCCAAAAGTCTTCTTGGCAACAGTAGATGCGGCCACAAAAATGGCTATGGATCAATACCTATGAAAATAGCATTTTTAGTAGTGGGATGAACATCCATAAATCCCAGCTATGACTTGGGGTTCACTAGGTACCAGGGTTTTGACACACTGCCAAATCCCAAAATTTCTGGGCAAGAATCATGTCCATCTACTACCACCTATTTCATCCTATTTCACAATTGTGTGCGGATGAGTGAGGCCATGTCAAGCGAAGCCCAGAGGCAATTCGCCTGAACCAGGTGGTTGCACTATTCCAGGCTTCGGCGACAAATCTGGCTGAGGAAATGGCCAAAATGCAGCAATCACATTTGCGCATCGTTTGTGAAAGGTTGAATCCATGCACTTTTTGGAAAATGGTATGGTTAGTGAGTAACTTCTGAACAACATTGAATAACTGAATAACCAGGAATAACCAGAATATTTTGACCAATGATTACGTCCAAACACTGCGCTGGATATCACTGATATCACTGATATAACTATTCATCATGAAATTGCGAGTGACGAGGAGATAGTTGATGATGGGTTGCACCGATTACCATGCCTCTCTGTGCAGCATTTTTGGCTTTCAGCTCTTCCAAGTCGTCAGAGATCTCCCGCCACAGCATGGGAAACTCCGTGGTTCATGAGCGTGGTGTGTCCAACCATGAGGGCCACCGTCGCATCAGCGACGTGCTGGACAACACGATCTGGCGCGGCGGGTACCAGAGCAGCTCTGGTACCAGGGCATTGGTGCATGGACTATACCATGAACATCTTGCCAGTCAGAAGGAACGGGCCGGAAATTATGAAGGGGCTGCTGCTGAGAGGGCCCGCGCTCAGCAACAGCACGAGGTCTTGGAAAGATCCAATTTCGGGAAAGCCTTGGAAATGCTGGAAGAGGTTGAAAAGTATTCTGGGTGAAGCATCGGCAGATGGAGGCATCAGTTTTGAGATGGCCCCGCACTAGCCCAAACTTGTAGAGAAACCTGAGCGAAGCCATGTCAAGCAAAGCACAGAAGAGGTGTGCAATTCGCCTGAACCAGGTGATTGTATCGCCATAGCCAATTTGAATGGCTAAGCGGCTAGAAAGCATCACATGGACAGACTGCGGGATCTCTTCAAAATGCCCCCGAAAAACCTTATCAACATGTTTTGTATGATTTGTGTGCGTAGTTTTGACATGTTCTGACCCAGAATCCTCCAGTCTGCTTGACAGATGCATCATTTTTGAAATGTGGCCCTACCCACAACTTGCAACGAAACATGATGTCATCTTTGTCCCAGTCCACCTACCATAAGTACAGTATTTCTCAATGCTGAGCGGATGAGTGAGGCCACGTCAAGCGAAGCCCACAAGGGGCCGTGCAATTTCGCCTGAACCAGGTGATTGTATCGCCATAGCCAATTTGAAGGGCTAAGCGGCTAGAAAGCATCACATGGACAGACTGCGGGATCTCTTCAAAATGCCCCCGAAAAACCTTATCAACATGTTTTGTATGATTTGTGTGCGTAGTTTTGACATGTTCTGACCCAGAATCCTCCAGTCTGCTTGACAGATGCATCATTTTTGAGATGTGGCCCTACCCACAACTTGCAACGAAACATGATGTCATCTTTGTCCCAGTCCACCTACCATAAGTACAGTATTTCTCAATGCTGAGCGGATGAGTGAGGCCACGTCAAGCGAAGCCCACAAGGGGCCGTGCAATTTCGCCTGAACCAGGTGATTGTATCGCCATAGCCAATTTGAAGGGCTAGAAAGCACCACATGGACAGACTGCGGGATCTCTTCAAAATGCCCCCGAAAAACCTTATCAACATGTTTTGTATGATTTGTGTGCGTAGTTTTGACATGTTCTGACCCAGAATCCTCCAGTCTGCTTGACAGATGCATCATTTTTGAGATGTGGCCCTACCCACAACTTGCAACGAAACATGATGTCATCTTTGTCCCAGTCCACCTACCATAAGTACAGTATTTCTCAATGCTGAGCGGATGAGTGAGGCCACGTCAAGCGAAGCCCACAAGGGGCCGTGCAATTTCGCCTGAACCAGGTGATTGTATCGCCATAGCCAATTTGAAGGGCTAGAAAGCATCACATGGACAGACTGCGGGATCTCTTCAAAATGCCCCTGAAAAACCTTATCAACATGTTTTGTATGATTTGTGTTCGTAGTTTTGACATGTTCTGACCCAGAATCCTCCAGTCTGCTTGACAGAGATGCATCATTTTTGAGATGTGGCCCTACCCACAACTTGCAACGAAACATGATGTCATCTTTGTCCCAGTCCACCTACCATAAGTACAGTATTTCTCAATGCTGAGCGGATGAGTGAGGCCACGTCAAGCGAAGCCCACAAGGGGCCGTGCAATTTCGCCTGAACCAGGTGATTGTATCGCCATAGCCAATTTGAAGGGCTAAGCGGCTAGAAAGCATCACATGGACAGACTGCGGGATCTCTTCAAAATGCCCCCGAAAAACCTTATCAACATGTTTTGTATGATTTGTGTGCGTAGTTTTGACATGTTCTGACCCAGAATCCTCCAGTCTGCTTGACAGATGCATCATTTTTGAGATGTGGCCCTACCCACAACTTGCAACGAAACATGATGTCATCTTTGTCCCAGTCCACCTACCATAAGTACAGTATTTCTCAATGCTGAGCGGATGAGGAGGCCACGTCAAGGCGAAGGCCCACAAGGGCCGTGCAATTTTTTGTTTCCCGCCTGAACCAGGTGATTGTATCGCCATAGCCAATTTGAAGGGCTAGAAAGCATCACATGGACAGACTGCGGGATCTCTTCAAAATGCCCCTGAAAAACCTTATCAACATGTTTTGTATGATTTGTGTTCGTAGTTTTGACATGTTCTCACCCAGAATCCTCCAGTCTGCTTGACAGATGCATCATTTTTGAGATGTGGCCCTACCCACAACTTGCAACGAAACATGATGTCATCTTTGTCCCAGTCCACCTACCATAAGTACAGTATTTCTCAATGCTGAGCGGATGAGTGAGGCCACGTCAAGCGAAGCCCACAAGGGGCCGTGCAATTTCGCCTGAACCAGGTGATTGTATCGCCATAGCCAATTTGAAGGGCTAGAAAGCATCACATGGACAGACTGCGGGATCTCTTCAAAATGCCCCTGAAAAACCTTATCAACATGTTTTGTATGATTTGTGTTCGTAGTTTTGACATGTTCTCACCCAGAATCCTCCAGTCTGCTTGACAGATGCATCATTTTTGAGATGTGGCCCTACCCACAACTTGCAACGAAACATGATGTCATCTTTGTCCCAGTCCACCTACCATAAGTACAGTATTTCTCAATGCTGAGCGGATGAGTGAGGCCACGTCAAGCGAAGCCCACAAGGGGCCGTGCAATTTCGCCGCCTGAACCAGGTGATTGTATCGCCATAGCCAATTTGAAGGGCTAGAAAGCATTCCACATGACAGCTGCGGGATCTCTGCAAAATGCCCCCGACCGAAAAAACCTTATCAACAGTTTTGTATGATTTGTGTGCGTAGTTTGACATGTTTGACCCAGAATCTCCAGTCTGCTTGACAGATGCATCATTTTTAGATGTGGCCATACCACAATTGCAACGACAACATGAGTCATATTTGTCCCAGTCACCCTACCCATAAGTACATAAGTATTTCTCAATGCTGAGCGGATGAGTGAGGCACGTCAAGCGAAGCCAACAAGGGGGCCGACAATTTCGCTGAACAGGGTGATTGTATCGCCATAGCAATTTGAAGGGATAGAAAGCATCACATGGACAGACTGCGGGATCTCTTCAAAATGCCCCCGAAAAACCTTATCAACATGTTTTGTATGATTTGTGTGCGTAGTTTTGACATGTTCTGACCCAGAATCCTCCAGTCTGCTTGACAGATGCATCATTTTTGAGATGTGGCCCTACCCACAACTTGCAACGAAACATGATGTCATCTTTGTCCCAGTCCACCTACCATAAGTACAGTATTTCTCAATGCTGAGCGGATGAGTGAGGCCACGTCAAGCGAAGCCCACAAGGGGCCGTGCAATTTCGCCTGAACCAGGTGATTGTATCGCCATAGCAGATTTGAAGGGCTAGAAAGCATCACATGGACAGACTGCGGGATCTCTTCAAAATGCCCCTGAAAAACCTTATCAACATGTTTTGTATGATTTGTGTTCGTAGTTTTGACATGTTCTGACCCAGAATCCTCCAGTCTGCTTGACAGATGCATCATTTTTGAGATGTGGCCCTACCCACAACTTGCAACGAAACATGATGTCATCTTTGTCCCAGTCCACCTACCATAAGTACAGTATTTCTCAATGCTGAGCGGATGAGTGAGGCCACGTCAAGCGAAGCCCACAAGGGGCCGTGCAATTTCGCCTGAACCAGGTGATTGTATCGCCATAGCCAATTTGAAGGGCTAGAAAGCATCACATGGACAGACTGCGGGATCTCTTCAAAATGCCCCTGAAAAACCTTATCAACATGTTTTGTATGATTTGTGTTCGTAGTTTTGACATGTTCTGACCCAGAATCCTCCTGCTTGACAGATGCATCATTTTTGAGATGTGGCCCTACCCACAACTTGCAACGAAACATGATGTCATCTTTGTCCCAGTCCACCTACCATAAGTACAGTATTTCTCAATGCTGAGCGGATGAGTGAGGCCACGTCAAGCGAAGCCCACAAGGGGCCGTGCAATTCGGCTGAACCAGGTGATTGCACTCAGCCAGACCTTGGAGCAACAGCTGCTTCAGGCCAAAAAAATCCAAAAATGAAGTGTCTATGGTGGTAGAATCTCAAGTCATCTCGGGTCTATGTCATTACTCCAATGGAGGAAAAGTTCATAGAATTGTTGGGAATTTATCATTAGGGGTTGAAGGGGTTGAGATAATATTTTTTCCTGGTGGACCTCGCGACAAGTTATCGTAGTAGGGCTGGGATGATGGTTTCCCGACATTTTTTGACTACTCCTCACATAAGTCTGACATCAGCTGTCACCCCTCACTTTTTGATGTGTTGGCCGACTGGGAACCCTGCGTAAGGCTCAAATCAATTCAGCAAAATAGGACCAGACGACCGTTTCTGTTTACAGATGTCTGATGATGTCTGTGCTTCGGACTCTCCTTAAAATGGATCTCACAGGTTGCCGAACTTTCCAGAATCTTCCAGAATGATTGTGTTGATGGTTGGGATAGCCCAAGGGATGTGGATTGGGATAATTGGGATAGGGGGCATTTGTTTGAGACTTTCTGCAGAGGCTGTCTTTGACAGAGGTGTTGCACTGGTCATGGAATGGAGGGCGAAATTCCGAATCGCAGCAGGTCGAGGACTACTTCAAGAATGGAGCTGGGAATCCTAGATTTAATTCCACAGACTTTGGATTGAGTTTTCCTAGGTCATTCTGGTTGACATCCCACAAGTGATTCCAAGTGATTTCGGATCTTAAGCAGCACCAACAGAGATTCAATCGTTGGAGATACTTCCCTGGTGGTTGTTCAAGATGTTGAGAGCTTGGGCAGGATTTCAAGATGGTTGCAAGTTGCATCATGTTACCCTCTGGTAATTTAACATAGCTATTGAAAATGGCCATTTATAGTGGATTTACCCATTAAAAATGGTGATTTTCCATAGCTATGTTAGTTTACCAGAGGGTACATCCCTTTTTTTCAAAACCACAGCAGCCAAAATCCAGACGGTCCCTTAAAGAAACCCCCAATTTTTTTCTATAACGATTTGAGACGAGTTGAAACACCTCAAATGGGATACATGCCGCATGCCCATTTGTTGTTGTTTTAATTTGTTTTAGGATATTTGATGCTATTTATATTATGCTACTACTAACCACAAAGAGATAGAAAAGTAAACACCTACTATAGATTCATGAAAAGAATTGTTTTTTTTAATTCTATTAGGGTTCTATAATCTAGAATTCAGACTGGGATGGGTCAAAACCGATTATTTCCATATGACTGGGGGAATAACCAGCTATCCCAGCTATTTTAGGGTACCATCCGGGTACCATGCGGTGATATCGCCAGGTTGGTTTACCTGGATTCCTCCACATCATTCTTCCGAGGTTTGGAGAGATGATTTGATGCGCACAGACCTGCAGCTGATTGCAGTCCATCGACGGGAGGTGCGGGGTCAAACCTTCCCCTGGCGAGCCAATATGACTGGTGATGAAGTTGCGAAATCTTTTGAAGAGATATGTTGAACTGTGAACGGTTGGGATTTTCCTGACTTGATTGATTGTTCTTTTTGTTGATTTTGAGAAATCATCAGCACTCATCCAAAGATCCGAACATGATCCGAACATGATCCGACCAGATATCCCACGAGCTTTTTGGTCATCCAGTCTTGTGGCTTACATCATAAGTTACATCCGAAAAAAACATCCGTCAGAAACCAATTTGGTGGCGTCACAATGTGTCACATTCCCTTCAAATCCCCAACCTGGCACCTGACCTGGCACCTGTGCGCTAGGCAGGGGCGCCAGAACCGCCGGAGGTGTCGGAGGTGCGGAGTTTCTTTCTCGCCTGGTCGGATCACATGATATGTCAGGTCCAGCATCATATGATGATATGATGGGTTTGTTTGAGGAGATACATTCAGGTACCCCATTTTCGAATTTTACTAGGGAACATTTTGATGAAGCAGAGGATTTAGGGCTACCAAAAATTTTCAGACAAGCCCTTATTATCCCTTATTATATATTTTGATATTGTTTGACATCATGATCATCATGTGTCATGTAGCGGGTAAAAGTTGGCTTCCTGATGCTTCCTGCAGGTGGAACTGCCACCTTTGCCACCTGGAGCGGCAGGGGGTCCCAGTGCCAGGTGCTGGTTGTTGTCGCTGGGTTATGTACACATACTCATGGCATATATGTTCTTTTCATTTTTTCCCCTATTGTATGATATATATATAGAATATAGATATAATATATAATATGTATATATAGATATGATGTATGCATACTTTGCGGAAGCTATTTTTAAGGCGGCAGCCGCCTCTGCGGCCCCATGCTCAGGGACTGGGGGGTTGAAGCCGAGCCCAGGGGGATAACACATCGGGAAAAATTCGATGATTCACGGAACGATAGGGATATCACCATTATGGGGATATGACATGATATCAAACTCGGATGGATTTGTTTGAAAAGATTCAGATGGGTTTGGATGAAACATTTTGGTTTGGTTGGACCCTCCAAGGCGTTTTCAAAATCCATAGAAGATGTTACCAATGCAAAGAGGTGGAATCTGAAGTTGGCCAAGCAGTTTCGACATCCCTTGGTGGGTCTCAACCCTTTGTTACAGATCGGTCCTGATCTGGGACGATGAATTTGTCCCGCGTTGACACATTTCTTGGGGCTGGGTGGCCCCAAAAGAGATGTGAAGATGGAACCAACAAAAACATACAAAAACAGGGAATGATTGGTACTGTACATTCCTGTTTGTTGACTCGGGACACAGCCCCTCTGATTTTGTTTCGCTATTCACAGCGAACATGTTAGAGCATGTTGGAACCGTCCGGCGCTGTACAGCCTGTACAGACAACTCACCCGCCTCACAAAAGGTTTGTTGAAAGATGTTCTCTTATTTTATATTTGGGATGTCCAATTTTTTTTACAAAAGATGCTTTGGTACAGTAAATTAAGTCAAGATTGGTTGTGATTTTACTGCCTCCTTTCGGGCACCTCGATTTCACTGGGGCAATCGCGTGCCCGGCTTAGACATCATTGGCAGCTGCATCTGGACTAGGCGCCTCCGAAACCCAAGCTGATAAGGAATACCAGGTTTCCACAAGCACTGGATTTTCTGATGAAACTTGGTATGGGTGAAAATTGAGACAACCGAAAGATTTGAGAGTGACACACTGAAAAGACATCTTAAAAGACCAAAACTGCTAAAAATTGACACATCACATTTCCACTCTCGTTGTTGATTGCATCCCCCATGTTTACTGGTTACATTAAACAAACATCTTTATTTTCGGGTGGTTGTAGCCAGCATCAAAAAATCATGGCTGTTTTTTTTTTTTTGTGGCCCCAAGGCTCAGGGTTCCCAGGGTTGGTCAATTTTTCCCAACGGCCAGGAGACTCTGTGGCAGATCTCCGGCTGATTGCATTATTTGTGAGGGCCTAACTTAAGCTGTGGGGTGGAACTTGGAGGGCTGCTTATTTTGATGCTTTTTTGCGCTAGAAATATTACAAATGACCTCTCTTTGTTTGAGATATTGTAGTGGAAAACCACGAAGCCTTGAGATCTTTCGCTCCCCTAGATTCTGGACACATCCATGATAGGAAATGAGTAAACAGCAGAGCTTCACTCCTCTATGATCTGCAATTGACTGATCCCGCCTTCATAGGACGTGGAGGTTGCCATTTTTCACCTGGCCACCCAGGTCGCCAAGTGGAAATTGGATGTGGCGGCCACCAAGAAAGCCTTAATCAAGTTGCTGCCAATGAGGCGCACTATGTCACTATGACTTGACAGCTGCGGCATCCTGGGGCCACGTTTTGACGTTTTGACGGTGACCAGCCCTTCAGGCGTCGCTACGTCATGGCCCATTTCAAAGCCAAGGTGCTGGGAATGTGTGTCAAAGCACAGTGGGAAGTGCCTCAAATCCTTCGAACACTGGGTCTGTTGAAGTAGGGAAACCAAGTTGGAGGATTTTGTGGTACATATGTTGTTGTTCGGGTTTTAAGGCAAGACGGAGACCCCCAAAAGGTCGCATTGGTCGATTGGGGATCCCCCATTGGCCGCTGCCAGGGGGGGCCTGATGTCAATGAGGAGCTTGAGCAGCCACTTGGATCTCAACTATTGGAAGCTGACCAGTAGAGGGGCCAGTCTTGGGCGACAGCCCCAGGGATTACTTCCAATATGAAGGTGTGTCCAAAGATGGGTGATAGCAAAGAAGGCAAATTGAGTGGAAAGCATCACAATCATACAATCGATCATCAAATTTGACAGGGATTCTATTGATTTTAAGACACACCATGATAAACCCACGTATTGGGCATGGGTCAATCATTGAACTGCCTTTTTGATCCTTTTTCAGAAGTCATTATCTACTTTTTCTCTCAAATGTACCACAATTCGACCCAGCCAAACCATTTCCTGCGGTCCTTCAGGTACATCCAGGAGTGTAGCTCCACGAACTCATGGGCTGCCATGGTGGGGGTTGGGATGTGGGGAAGGGTCCAACACAACCTGGCAGATTCTGCTGGTTTTCACTGGTGCAGGATGACAACCCCCAAGTAATTAGATGTAATTAGTGGACTCGCCTCAGCAGAAAGAATCAGCAGGGCACCGGAGAACCATATTCAAATGACATCCACCAATTCAATTGAAGAAATCCTCAATGTTCAATATGTACATCATTTTTCTTCGATGTTCATCTAGTTTCATCAATTTCCTTGGGTGAACCTGTTTGATTATGGAGGTTAAACCATGCGAAAAAACCTCCCGCCGATTTCGCCCGAGCTGGCAGGTGCAGAAGCCAACAACCAGCTGGCCGGTGGCTTCGAGTGTTAATGGAGCTGCATGGCCGGAGACGACTTGGGATTCATGGGATGACTTGGCCAAGAGGTGGGGATATATACCCTCTGGTGAACTAACATAGCAATGGAAAATGGCCATAGAAATAGTGGATTTTCCCATGAAAAATGGTGATTTTCCATTGCTATGTTAGTTCACAAGAGGGTATATATATATATAGCTGTGTTTGAAAATGGGATACCCCCAAAATAACAATCTTAGTGGGACATGATGATAAACTGTTTCATTTTGAGATATTCCATTTTCACATACACACACACACATATTTTACCAACATGGGGATATTCACATCCAGCCGCCAGCCCCAGATTTTTACAGATAATTTGGCCAAAAGTGAGGAGGTTTTTCAAACATTTTGACGGATCTTTGGGCAACATAAGGATGTTTGTTGATTTTTACCCTCCAAACTCTGAACCCAGATTCCAAGATTATATGGGCCGAAATGTCTTTGATCCAAAGAAGCCAGATGGTTTGGGCAAGAAGGCTGCGGATTTTTGAAAACAAACCTGGGGATATTCGTGTGTTTTGCTGGCCGTTTTTGTTTCACCAGCAATCAGGATTTTTACCACTCATGACTATTGAGGGTCCACTGGTACCCCATCATTCAGCTATACCAGGATTGTTCCGCGATTTGGGATCATTTTGACCCTGCACGTGCAAATCTACCAGCACAAGAGAAGCGGAACGTGATGTTCCAAAAGCTCCCCACACCACATCCACTGGCCGAGGGCATGGGGCTCCCCCCCGGCGCGAACAGGCGAAGGGCAGGGCATGGATTGCAGTTGGACATTTTTGGATCTTGGGGTCTTCAGAAGAGACACTTAGTACCCTCTGGTAATTTAACATAGCTATTGAAAATGGCCATTTATAGTGAGTTTTCCCATGAAAAATGGTGATTTCCCATAGTTATGTTAGTTTACCAGAGGGTAGTACATGAAAAAGTAGAGATTAATGAAAGAATCGCACTTTCTTGCTGTCAATAAAACATGAAAAACACCACCGGAGTGCTCTGGGTGTACAAGGACTTGAATATATATATATATAATTAACTATAATTATGTATATATATATATATATGTTTATAAATGTATCACTCTGCTTGGTGGTTTCCATCCATCTATTTTTGTGTATTCCTAGGTGAAACCACCAATCAGCAAATCCGGATGCGGCTCCATACCTGGCATAGGATGAGACCTCCGCTCACTATCACACCACGAAAGTTGAACACTCAGAGGGAAAGACGTTGTTGTTTTTTTTGCTGTGTTGGTTCTTGGTCATGATGATGGTGGTGATGATGATGATGATGAAGATGAAGATGGTGATGATGATGGCGATGGTGATGGTGGTGATGATGATTATGATTAGGCTGACGATGATGGTGATGATGATGGTGATGATGATGATGACGATGGTGATGATGATGATGATGATGATGGTGATGATGATGGTGGTGATGATGATGATGATGGTGATGATGATGATGATTATGGTGATGGTGGTGATGGTGATGTTGCTGATGACGATGGTGATGTTGCTGATGACGATGGTGATGATGATGATGACGATGGTGATGATGATGATGATGATGATGGTGATGGTGGTGACGGTGATGTTGCTGACGACGACGACGACGACGACGAGGACGACGACGACGAGGACGACGACGACGACGACGACGACGACGACGAGTTGTCGATGATGATGATGATGATGATGATGATGATGATGACGAGTAAGATTGCTGGGGCTGCTGGGACATATGCATCTGAAATCCAGTTTTTCCCATGTTTTTCAGAGTGCTTGCAACTATTCTGACTTTCACCAGGGCATCAGTTCCGAGAATTGGTGGAAGGATTTGGATTGGCAGGACTCCCTTTTTTTTCGGGGTAAAAAATCTGCCAGTTCTCAATTTCAATCTTACCCACAAAGTCAATCCACCACACCAGTTTGATTCCCATTTTCGGTGAGCAATACCATGCTAAATCCATCCAAAAAGTATGTTTGACTCCAATGTTCAATCAGTTTTTAACTATAGATATATGGTTAATTGATTAATCCCCATGAACTTATAGATATCACCCTAACCATCTATAGATATTATATATTCTACAGATATTGCTGAGGCCAGGACTGACCAACTCTGCGGGAGTCATTGCCACCAGCATCTCGCAGAGGTGCCAGCCATGACTTAGGAAACCTCCATGATCCTTCAGGTTTTGTTGATTATGGAGATTGAATACAACTAAATGGGATATTAGATGAACATCATGGATAGATATGTATATATAATAATATAGTATGGACATAATAGGAACTTATCGTTGAACTGTTTGGATTTTCCTACATTTCAGTGAAAATGAAGTCTACGGTTAGAACACATTGCAAACATGTTCATGTCTCGCGACAGAAAAAATATGGATAGTGATGAACACATTGGGCTGATTTAGGTACTGAAGTGCCGAAAATGACCGAGAGGGAAAGAAGATTCGTCCCAAATCTTGCGCATTGACTGGTACCCCGCGTTTGACCCCTCGGTGTTGGAGCACTGACGACCATGTCACCCGACAAACCAGAAACAGTTGGGTGTCCACAGATCTGGGTCGAACTTGGTCCAATTAAACTCGGCCACGACCATTAGTAGTTACACACACATTCATTGGACATATATTTATAAGTATGATTTTACTATATATTATATGATTATATATATATATATGTCTATTATCCACGCAGACACACACACACACATATATATATATTTATACATGTAAACATACACATGTTGGCCAAAAAATTACTAAATTCGTGGCCTCAGCTTCGTGTCGCAGGCTGGCAGCCATCCGTGCTCAAGCAAGGCGGGAAATTTTGCTGGCTGTATCCTTATCCCCCTTTCAATGGACGCTTAGGATTTTTACCACAATTCTATCCAAGATATCCAGTATAGGCTGAACAAATATGATCATATTATCATACTTGATTTTGTAGTTTATACACATTTTTTTTGGTATGGGAAAACATACATGGACCCCTCAGAATGGATGGTTACATCGCGAAATTTGTGGGTCTTTTGGTACACCTATTTGTGGACCCCCGTTTATGATTTCGACAGAGCTACCAAGTCTTCCCAACCCCCAACTGAATCATTGGTGAGAAAGGCCTGCTGGAATGGTTCAGAGAGCATCGATCCCAGCAATGGACAGGGTAACCGGCCGGTCGGTAGGAACCCGCAAAAGGGGCCACATCCACTAGTATTTTTTTCTGCGCCCATGTTCAGGTTCCATAATAAATCTAGGTGCTGTATTCAGCTAGCTTCAAATAGCCAACAAAGCCATCATTTCACAATGAAATGGAGGCTGAAGTAGTACAACTAGCTCGACCAGAAGGGATATTACCACCAGCCTTCTTGGGCTATCATGCAGCTGGAATGGTGCAGCAATGCAACAATCTGGGTGAATCATACGCATTTGGGTATGTCTGGAAATGGGGTATACTGCAATACCTCAACTTATAGCATATTCTAGCCATTTTAACGACCAATGGGGAAAGTGATGATTAACCATGAAACAAAAATAAGGCGTACCCTATTTTCAGACACATCCTGGCAAAAACCAGCCCCTGATTATCCAGGTTTGCCATGAAATGGAGAGAAGAAAATCTTTTTTTTTTAATATCCCACAAGTGACCTTCCAAATGTCCAAGGATCAGATCATGTGCCCTAAGTGTGACTCGCCAGCTTTACTGGGATATGGGGTTTGTGCAAAGACGGGGTGCCCCACATTTGATCCTTGTCACCCGTGGATCCTCCTCCCCGACTAAGGCACCAATGGGCGGCGGCATAGGCATGCCGTTTTAACGGCCTGCTGGATATCAAAATGAGTAGTTCCCAAAGTACCCATTGGGTAGACAGAAGAGGAGTTGATGTGGTAAAGCCAATTCTAAACCATTGCCATTGTCACCGTAGATGCTCACAAAACCATCCACTGCAGGTTTATTGGATTTATCATGATTTATCTCATTACTGAGATTACTGGACACCCGAAAAACCGGCCAATCTCTCGGTGATGCTAATCGCAAAAGTGGAGGCCATGGGGATGTCTTATGATTTTATGTGGTTAGAAGATACTCTAAGTATGGTCCTGTGATGTTTCATGATTTTATATAGTTCCATAGTTGACTGTACCTATACTATACCATCCTATAGTTCTATGATTGACCATACCATACTAGGACCAGGCTTGACTTTTCCACCCCACCCCTAAATCCCGGGGGATCTGCAGGCAGCAGTGGGGCGGTTGATACGGCAGAGCTACGCCTGGTGAATCTCTTTGTGCGGCACCAAAGACTTTTGGGAAGCCAATCTTTGACCAATAGTCCTTTTTTTGGGGGGTAGCCAATAGCCAATCACCAGGTAGAATCACCTCGGCATCCAGATAGTTGCCTTCTGGAAACATTTTTTTTCAGTAAGGGGGTGCAAGCAGGGAAGTCTGATGGATGTTCCATTGCCGGGTGGGGCTAACTGAGGGTTAGGTCCTCCTCTTGCAGCCCCCCTCCAGACTTCACCTGACTTCATCCGACTCCAGGTTGCCAAATGGAAGTTGAACCCCGGGCGGGCCAGGGCCGCCTTGAGTAAAGTGCTTCCCCTCAGGCGAAGCCGGGGGAACCGGGACCTCCACATACAACGGCAGCAACTCACAAGGTCACCACTTAGGTACCTTCAAGATCCTTTAAGTCAGAACTCATCATGTTGGTGTGTCACCCCTGTCTCCAGTTTCCACGTGAAACTCACCATTGGCACTTGAAGCTTGTATGGTTGTCCTCGTCAGAAATCGGTTGAGCAGTTGACTCTCTCCAAATGCTCATGAATTTAGGCACCCAGCAGCCACATAAGGAGAATTGCTTGTTTTTATAGACGATGCAAGGACCTGTTGACCAATAGGTGTGGCGTTATATATCTTACAATTCTTTACATATCTTTGAAGGCAGCTTGACTTGAAGCACATTCAATTAAGGTTTAATTTGTTCAAGATCCGAGTTTCTTCCTTTTTCTCTTATTCTCAGTGTTTCCACTATTTTTATTTGTATCTTTATTTTCTACTTTGCTCTTGTTTACTTTCGTTTCCATTAGTCTTTCTTTCCCGTTTTTATGTCTTTTCATTTGTTACTTTTCCTTTGACTCGCTCCTTCTTTCTTTCTTCTCTTTTTCCCATTTTATTGGTCTTGTTGATGCTCTTTTTCTTTCCGCGACAGTCCTGACTTCCTCCGTGGTTGGGAAACCATGTTCTTTTGCAGAGAATTTGTCGTTTTAGTATGCTTTAGTCTAGTACTAAACCACCCACCTGGGGTTGGTCATGTTAAAACATGCTGAAACGTACCCAAATGGATGATGACATACCCAACTGGTTGTATTTTTGTTTCGAAGGTCTTGATGCAGTAAGTTGATCTCATTGGCCAGGCGGCGTCAAGTCATCGCAAGCTTCCGAGTTGAAGTCGTGCCTCGGTTGAGATGGTGAAAGGCAGCAAAACCATTGGATTGATTTCGGGATGAAATACTCCAATTTTGATACATTTCTGTTGCTCAAACCCATTCCAAAGATGTGGCTGTCATAGGCTCTGATGCTTCTGCTGACCTGGCTTCTTTCTGGCTGCCGGGCAATTTCAGGGATTCTGGAGCATGCCCAAATATCCCCTCAAAGCTAATGATATTGATTTAATATGGATTTATATCGCATCACCCTATGAAATCCTATTGATTGCATGGCAACGGGGTTCACGGATTCTCCAAGATTCAGTGTGGAATGTGTGTGATCCTGGACAGGGCCGTGGTGACGTGAACGACCAGCTTGACAGGTCCCTGGGTCACTGGCTTTCTGGGGAATCCCTGCTGAACAGGGAATTCATGGCCCCAATGGCAGGTATATCAGCGAACGCCAAGCTAATGGCTGGGTACGAGCCTCGAGGGCGACCAGCTTGGCAAGCTGAAAAAGGGCAAGAGAATCCAAAAAAAGATCCTTTATAAGATTTTATAAGTATCATTGTATCATGCCACATATTACAATGAATGCAAAGAAAAGTATTCATGACGGATCGAGGCATCTTCAAACACATTTCCGACCCAAGGATGCCACGCGAAATGGCAGCGTTGGCGTTCGGGTCTTGAGCAAAGACAGGAAGGAAGGAGTTGGCCCTCACGCTGGTCCTATGTATATGATATAATATAATAAAATATAATATTTATATAATATTTATATATATATATATATATATACATAGTTGCTCTTGCGGATATTTACTCTATATGATTTTCGACAGCAATATGTTTATTTCTCTGGAGATGGATCAAAAGTTTTGATCCGTATTGATCCCTAAAATTGGATGGTTTAAGAACATTCAATTTTGCGGGTCTATATCCCATACCATTGAGATGGCTTCAAATCCCGCCAGTTTGCTGGGTGATGTAGTTGCTTCCCAATGATAGTGAAGAATCCCTGCATGACAAACGGTTGTTGGGGGAAACTACACTTAATTCCTCGTGACACGTGCACACCACTGAGCACAGTCACTTTGAGATTGCCTCTATCGGTCTGACGCGCTGGCTTTAGCTGCCAGACGCCTGGGTCGTGAGGTAGTTCCACTACTCAGTGTGTGCAACGCAACGTCAGGTGAAACGTCCAATCTCTGCCGTGAGTGCAGCTTCCACTGGTTTTGATCCCAACAAGAGGCGGCGGCTGATGGTTGGAATATGTTGGAATGAACCATCAGTGGGGGTTTAATGGGCTGTTTTGCCGGGCTGTTACCATCATAAATGGAACTTACAGAGGTAAAGCCTCAGGTTGAACCATTATGAACATAGGGGGGTTGACTAAGTTCACCATTATGAAATGGGGCAGGGCACTCCCGTCCCATTGATATGGAAAAACCCCATAAAAGCCCTGGTCTAGTATTGGAATGTGTTGGATCTACAAATTCACTAAAATGGGGCTTTTTTAAATGGGGAATTTCATAGGGCTAATTCATTGGTTATTTAACATAGCCATGGTATAGATGGCCCATCTATAGATGGTTTACCTATTAAAAATGGTGATTTTCCATGGCTATGTTAAATAACCAGATGGTAATTCATTGGTTATCAACCCGCACAAGGGGATGGACACCCCAACCTTTCAAATTGCCATTACAAGAACTCTGAAAAATCTCGGCGGACCATGTCCATCAACTCAAATCAAACGGTAACGACTCAAGAGCTTCATGTAGATTTGGTATGGGTCCGGTCAGTCCGGTATCCAAGATGTTGATCTAATCCCATGATAATCATGATACAAACGGCAATTTATATATCCAACAAACATTGGGATTCTGACCAGAAATTGTGGGATTCTGCCAACAAAGCTGCAAAGTTGGGATTCCGACAAGACAAAATGGGGTTTGAGCCGCAAAGACTTGGGAGATATCCTCAGAGTTGGATGCTTTCATACTGAAAAGGAACCATTGTTTCGGTTCTCGAAGATTCTCATGTCCATAAAGATCATGGACGGTGCTTTGGCACCTCTATAAGATGTGAAAACCGGAGTCCCATTTTTCATTTCGTGTTGATCCTTAGCAAGTCATGAAATCGGCTCAAATCAATTTTTGTGAATTTACATCTGAAAATCCACGTGTTTTCTATCCACCATACCCTGCATCAGGATACGGCCGATTACGGCGCCACGCTCGCCCCGCTGGCGCGTTTTTCTGCTGTTTGATAGCCCTGGGTTGGTTGGTTGATTTGGGTTTGTCTGATACCTTAGGATACCCGGTAGGGTGCCCCAAATCCTATGATTTCTCATGATTTCATGATGTGTCCATTGAACACCATTGAACTAACTAGGCCATATTGGAAGTATACCCCATTTTCAGACACAGCTATTTGACTTCATTAATTATGATTAACGGGTGGGTAATTTTAAAACCATAACCATAAATTGAGGAATGCTGTCACATCCCACAAAAGATGTCAATTGGAAGCCATGGTTGCTTTCAAGGAAAGGAAAGCAGGTCATTCTGTCTTTTGTGACGGAACAAGTCTGCAGAGACAGCAATGACGAGCCCTTATGAGATGTTTGGGGGTAATAGCTAGCAAGAACTGTGGGAAGCTAGGAGTTGATTTGAATTCCACGCGTATTGAAACTCCTACATGTCTCATGGAGCCCATACCCGAGACTCGACTGATGTCTTACAGTCTTACAATGCACATGCTCATCCGTCGCTTTGGAAGTAGTGTTCCTTATGCCGCCTTATGCAATGTAATCTTGGCAAAATGTTCATTGCAAGAGATTCTTCAGACTGTGTCATCAGATTGACTATTTAACTATATACACAATATAATCACATATGCATATATATATATAAATAGTGTATACATTTTTCCTCACCTGCCAGGTGAGGGTTGTTAGATTTTATGTCAGTTGCCTGGTCCTCCTCGTCCTCCTCCTTCTCCTCCTCCTCCTCCTCTCGTTGTCCTCCTCGTCCTCCTGCTCAACTGCGACTCGCGATCCACAGTGTTCTCTGTCGGACCTCCACCACGACCATCCACGCCCAGTGTTCCCTGCCGGACCTCAACCACGACCAGCCACGCCCAGTGTTCCCTGCCGGACCTCAACCACGACCAGCCACGCCCAGTGTTCCCTGCCGGACCTCAACCGCGAGTATCCATGCCAAGTGTTCCCTGCCGGACCTCATGTAGGAAGATATGGGACAAAGAATGTGCAGAAGAAAGTTAGAAAGAATGTCAGAAAGAATGTCAGAAAATATGCCAGAAGATATGCCAGATAGAATGCCAAATAGAATGCCAGATAGAATGCCAGAAGATATGCCAGAATATATGCCAGAAGATATGCCAGATAGAATGCCAAATAGAATGTCAGAAGATATGTCAGATAGAATGCCAGATAGAATGCCAGAAAGAATGCCAGATAGAATGCCAGATAATATGCCAGAAGATATGCCAGATAGAATGCCAGAAGATATGCCAGAACATATGCCAGAAGATATGCCAGATAGAATCCCAGAAGATTTGCCAGATAATATGCCAGAAGATATGCCAAAAGATATGCCAGATAGAATGCCAGAAGATATGCCAGAAGATATACCAGAAGATATGCCAGATAGAATGCCAGAAGATATGTCAGAATATATGCCAGAAGATATGCCAGATAGAATGCCAGAAGATATGTCAGATAGAGTGCCAGAAGATATGCCAGATAGAATGCCAGAAGAATTGCCAGATAGAATGCCAGAAGATATGCCAGAAGATATGCCAGATCATATGCCAGAAGATATGCCAGATAGAATGCCAAATAGAATGTCAGAAGATATGTCAGATAGAATGCCAGAAGATTTGCCAGTAAGAAAATGTATAAATGTCATGGTGGGCATCACACGAAGTAAAGTAATTTAAATATATTGATAAATATACAATGATATATAGATATATGTTACATCCACACATTTTGTACTTTGATGATCATTCCAAGGTAAAGATGCTGAAATATATGTAACGTGCATCCGGCAGAGGACGGGCGTGTCCTCTCCACGCCCTGTGAATCCAGTTGCGACGCCAAGGACGCAGGGATTCTACGGAGAAAAGGTTGGCATGTTGGTTTGTATGGTCTTCATGTTGATGTTCACCAATTTTCAACGTTTGTTTATTCCTTGGTTTTGAAGTCTTGTCCAGTGAGCCGTCTGGGTTGCTCGTCCCATGGTTCCAAGAGAGTCGAGAACATTTTGGCAGTTCTGGTTCTACATTCCTAGATCTTCAAAAGTACAATCTTTCGTGCTTGAGTTTATGTTGGGCATGTGACTCCAAAAACCGTTCGTTTTGGAGACAGGTGTTGGAGTTTTGGGGGCATACATCCAAAGCTGGAGTGTGCTAGGACAACCCTTCCAGCTGGCCCAAGGCTCGATCAGGGAGTCATTTCTCGAGTTTCTAGCTGACTCATCCCCAAACTGATCCCATAATATTGACGAAGCTTGAACATATATGAATATAATATATCATTCATGCCTGTGCATCCTATCATATCCTATAAGCATCTGTCCCAGGCCCCACGGTGCCGGTCCATCACTGGTGCTGGCACGCCCCACCCGTCCCAGCGGCCCTCTAACCCGGACACCGGCGCCCACCATGCGCCCGGTGCGGCCGCTGTCGGCGGTGCGCGGCAGCGTTGGGAGCATGGCGCATCTGGCTCCACGGGCCCCAATTGCACCAAAGGCACGGCCGGTGGCGAGGCCAACAGGTCCGAACGTGGCTAGATTGCAAGGTTGGGGCATGGGAGTAGCGAACTGAGCTCTAGTTACTAACTGGGTTGCGAAACAAATTTTATACCAAGGTCGAAGGGCATTATAAGCTAGTTACTAACAAGCTAACTAGTTTCATGGCCTATCGAAGTGCTGGTGGCTTCTGAAACTTTCCATTCAACAAAAACATCGTTGTATCTTTAAAATCTTTAAAAGGGGAAACCAATGGTGTGGGGCACTCCCAATTTTGAGAAACATCAATTTTGGCAAAAGATGACGGTCTTGAGAGAAATCGGGATGAAGGGATGCTGCGATCAGGGATGCAATATGACTGGATTGAAGCTGACTTTGTACTGGTGCACATGGAATTTCATTTGCTGAAATGGCAACCAATTGTGGGGTAGACTTCGGCAACCCCGAGGTGCGCTCCCCCTACAGGCGCAGCAGCCCTGTGAAGAGATTTTTGTGATGAAAAAACACATATATATATATATTATGTAGTATATAATATAATATAATATAATATGATATAATATGATATAATTTGATATAATTTGATATAATTTGATATAATATGATATAATATGATATAATATGATATAATATGATATAAAATATAATATAAAATATAATATAAAATATATAATATTATATATACAATGTACATGATATTATATACAGTAATATATACAGTAATATATACAGTAATATATATAAGATATATGATAGTACATATATATATACATAATATATAATATTATATAATACTATATAATATGTATAATATCATATATATATATATATGTATATATATCATATTAAATATAATAATAATAATAATAACAATAATAATAATGATAATAATAATAATAACAATAATAATAATGATAATGATAATAATAATAATAATAATAATATATATATATATGATAATAATATATATATATATATAATATGATATATATAATATAACAATATATAATATACACATATATATATATTATGATATAATATAATAATATATAAAATACGTATATATATATATATGTATGCATAGGGAAACTCAACACAGTTGCAGCGCTCGTGAATACTTTTTTTTTGATGGGTTATATACTATATATATATGTATAACGTACACTATTTTTTTATATCGAACTTTGCACCACACTTCGTGATATGTCTGAATCGATCCAAATTGGGGATCCCTTCAGAAATAAGTTGCGCAATACTAACTTGACCCATGCCTATTTGAAATCTATATTCCGCTGCTCACATCCCCCTCATTCTTGGTTTATTGCTCTTGATGATTTTTGCTGCTCGATCTCCAATTTCTGGGTTGTTATGCACCCTTCTAAACTGGTTCTGTTTGAACATATACTGGTAGGACGTGCCCCAAGTAAATCTTATGTGTTTAATCGTAATTTTCCCATATTTTCTCCATTTATATAGCCATAACTAGGTGTCAATGCGTCTCTTAGCTGAGCCTAGCACCTCTCTGAGAGGCCAACCAGCCCTGGGCCAGCTTCGCGGCCAATACGGTCAGTGGGGTGTCCAAAGATGTCGGTGGGACTTTGAGAGGAAACAGTTCTCACCAGAAAAGGGTGGTTGTGCAAGTTGTGCTTCTCCAACACTTATATAGATAGATAATGATAGTTAAATAGAATATCGATAGATCCATGGAACTCCATTGTTTCCCTATGGTAGTGAAGAACCCCTACATAACAGATGGTTGGAAGTGGAGAAATCACCAGTTATTTCTGGTTGTTTGGGCTTCCATGTGTAAGTTGATTACCCCAACATGTTTTTTTTCCCCTCCATGATAAGAGTGTTTTGCAATAATACATGATGGTTTCCGAAGTGATGGGGACCCAAAAATCATCCGACATTGACCAAATTGTTCATTGTAAACTGAGAAACCCCTTTGCTCAGAAACAGAACTGTGGAATAGTATCCCACGAGCTTTATGATTAACAAATTCATTCCAAAAGGAAAGACAAGAATCCACGTGGGACTGTCTTGAGAATGTGGGATTCATAAGGTGTTACTTGATTCATTCTTTTTTGATGAGTTCAGGGAAGTTGATGTTTTTTTGATCTCTACAATCACATAAAGCTCCTGGGGATACTATTGCCACAATTGCAACAGGCGCCTTTAACCAGCAATCATCAAATGGGCATAGCTCGAAATTATCATCACCGAAAATGAATGGTTTACCATCTCGTTTCAGATCCTACAAAAAATGAATATGATTTCAGGATCCTATGGTTTCAGATTCCCATGATGGTTTTCACCATCTTTTCATATCTGGTCCCCAAGCCAAGGCCAGCGCGCCCATATTCCAAACGACCAGGTGGGATGCAGCGATTTTTGGCACCAATGTTTCCATTTTTCTGCGCTCTTTGGATTGAATCAATGCAGATTCGTGAGGTACAAATAAGTATCATCCAAAGAAAAGTAAGTACAAATAAACATATATATATATGTACAATACACATACACATCATATTCATGCAATATTTTTTCTATATATTTCTATAGTATCCACATGAATATTGTGTAACTCCTGGATGCATGTGTTATTGGAGACGGGTGACAAAATAGCATCATGGGCCAATATAACAAGGAACACCAAATTATGTAGTGATACAACAAGGTAATGACACAAAAACAAAACCTATAAAAATCATGTGCCCTCTGGTAAATTAACATAGACCCGGAAACTAGTCTTTCAGCCCCTATCTGGCAGGGTCTATGTTAATTTACTGGAGGGTAAATAAAGACATAGGTAAACAAAATGAATAGCAAACCAATATGATAATTATGATTGCGATTGCTCTTATGTTGCGGGGTGCTCAGCCGTGATGTAGCAACAAACATGTTTTTTTGCCACGTACTCCGTTTTTCTCGCGAATACATTTTTGCTCTTGGCTCCTGCACATTTGGTTTGTATTTCCTAGCCAGCCGTACCATTCATCATTTTTCGTCTAATTATCGTTAAGATTCTTAGCGGCCCGGATCAATGACTGAACACGCCGGATTAATTTATATATTTTATTTTAAATAATTCGTTCCAATTAAATATATTCGATCGGCTAGCCCAAATCACTGCATATCGGTTTTAAAATAAAATCTTATATAATTTAAACAATATATATTCTTATTTTTTAATTTGTTATATACATTTTAATTTATATAAATATTAATTTAGATTATATATATATAATTTAATATTTTAATATATTTATATTTAATTATATTATATATAATATATATTATATAATATATATTATATATAATATATAATTTTAATTATATAAATTTATGAAGAAACACAATAATATTTTACAAATATATATTAAAAAATATATATTATATAAATTTATTAAATATATATATATATATTTTTTTAAAAAACATATAAATATATTAATATATTATAATGATTTTAAATTAATTATTTTTTGATAATTTTATATTTTGAAAATTATTATAAATTATTAAACTTTTTCTTAAATTGAATACATATTATTTTCTAATATCTTATTTAATATAGACATATTTATATAATAATCATTACATTTATTATATTATATTTAAATAATATTTTATATAAATATATAAATATATAAATATATAAATATATAAATATTTAATAAATAAATTAAATTTTATTAGAATTAATTTAGATGTTTATTTAATATATATCACGAAAGCTAGCGTCAGCTAGCTGGAGTCTTCTTGCTTTAGCAAGTATTGGGGGGGCTGCTCAAGGACATCACGTGATTTTTCACGCGAAAGGGGGGGACCCCCCCCTCCCCCCTCCCCCACCACCAACACCATCACCACCATCATCATCATCATCATCGTCATCATCATCGTCATCATCATCGTAATCATCATCGTCATCGTCATCGTCCTCTCCATCGTCCTCGTCCTCGTCCTCGTCCTCGTCCTCGTCCTCATCCTCATCATCATCGTCGTCGTCGTCGTC